AATCACAGGATAGGTTGCCCAGACGGAGCAGTGCTGTGACAGCTGATCCAGATCACTGAGTAAACTACCAGTGTGGCTGCTGAAGTGATTTAATACAGGTTACTGCAAGCATGGTTCTGCAGTAAACGGGCAGTTTGAAGACGTATAATCGAGCATTCTGGAGTTCCAGCATATGGATGTTATCATTACCACAGGGATGTTATCATAACTGTAATCATTACCTCAAGAACACCTTCAAAGACCTGATAAGACCTTTACTGTGCACACGGGCCTCACTGCTATTTTCTCAAAGGATTTATGGACGTCCTCCACCACTTTGACAGGTTAGTTTTCTTTTTTTTCCACAGAATACTTTTTCAAGACACAAGGATAGATTAGAAGAGACATGAGACTGGAGACATTTTAAAACATTTTCATCATAGACCTCAGCTTTGCTCCCTGAGATGAAACTTCACATGTTAAAAATGTATCCCATAAAACAAAATAGGTTTAAAGGCTTCGGTGATACTTCCATCACGACTCTGCCATCATGTCTGGACTCCACGTCCAGAGATGGAGTTGATGGAGAAGAGAAAACACCATCCCTCAAAGAACACAGAAACAGTGAAGCAGTGATAAGTGGAGACACGATGAGACAGAGGAAGAAAAAAAAATACACCAGTTGATACAGAAACTGCTCTCAGGCCTGACGCCAGTCATGTTAACAGCTGTAATAATGTCACAGAGATATAAAGCTAGCAGCAGCTGTCGTATATATAAAAGCAGTGATGGGGTCGCCACAAGGCAGGGTAAAAGAAGGGAGAATCTGTGACCGTCTGAGTAAACAAAACAACAAACGAATATAAATGTTGAAGGTGGAAAAAGTCAGACGAGAACGAGTCTTTGGGGCAGTTGTGCCTTGGTGGTTAAGGAAGCGGACTTGGTTCCAGAAGGCTTTAGGTTCGAGTCCACCAGCTGCCAAGTATCACTGAGGTGCTCTGAGCATGGCACCGTCCCCACACACTGCTCCCCGGGCGCTGAAAGCTGCCCACTGTTCACTTTGGTGATGGGTTAAAAACAGAGATCACATTTCATTGTGTGCAGTGGTGAGCTGTGTCACAATGACAAGGAGTTCACTTTTTTCTTTTTTTTTGATGAAACAAATCGTCTGTCGCTATTTGGAGAACATTCACACACTTGTCCACATTAATTAGAATCCTTGTGACGTTTTTTTCTGGTGGACAGGATTTCAATCTGTTATTTAAACTGTAAATTAATTGGCTATTTTTTTTTTGCATTTTCTATCATTTTGTAGATTGGACGTTGGATGCTTGAATTCATCACAGGGAAGGACATGGAGAAACCACCAAACTGACTCACAGCCCAACTGAGATAGATTGGACGTTGGATGCTTTTGGATGGCAGTAAGTTGTTGGAATAATGTGTAAAAACAACAACAAAAAAAACACAAAAAGAAATCTATATATTTATAAATCTAATACAGTGCTAACAGGTCATGTCCTGGGTTTAATTACAGTTAGACACAGGACATTACAATTATAACTGGCGAATCCAGACTACTCTAAAGCAGAGGTTCTCAAACTATGGTGCACATACCATCAGTGGTACTCGACCTTCCCTTTGTGGTGCACTGAGGAATCTGAATCCCACTCGTTTAAAGTGAGTCACTTAAATGTTCGTTACATCTGTTTAACCACATGGTGGCTGCTGGGTTTTAAAGCAACTTTTAAGCGAACACACAGGTTATTTTAATACATTTTCACTTACATCTGAGTTCAATGCGAATGAAGTCTTTGATGCCCAAATTTTCGAGGAAGACCCCGGAGGAGGACGTGGTTTTGAAGAGGAAGGAGATGTCTGCATTCAGCTCACCGTGGAAGGTGGGGAAGTGGAGGTAGGAAGTCTCCTTATCAAAAAATGCTGCATTCCAAAAGTTCTCTGTGAGACAAAGGAATAAACACTCGTCCTTTACTTTATGCTTTGGTGAAAAGGAAATATTTCCTTGTTGAAGACAGAGGTTTGTTACTATGAAAATAACCTAATTAAAACTGTGTATTTTGACAGCTCTGTTATGAAAATCATGCGGAAAACAAATGAAGCAACCGTTCAGCTAATAAGATAGGAACAAAGACATAACTCCCACTGAACCGTCTCATTTATACTGATTTATAATGCAAGGCATTTATTTTTATAGTACTTATTAAACTTAAGACTGGCATTAGAGGCAATTAGCTCCCGGGGTTACATTAGACATTTTATTAAAGATCAAACAGGGAGTCATAATCTACAGTAGCAACTGCTTTTCTAATTACAAAGTTTATTTGGACGAACTCAATAAAAATGACACCAAATTAGTCCTTAATGTCAGTTTAATCAAACAAGACATTTATATCTTCTTTTTTTAAATTTGGTTTGGAGGAAACAGTGAACATTAGCTGAGTCGAATTAATTTAATTATTTGAGTACATTTTTGTAATTTGTTATCCATCAACACACATTGAGATATAAACAGTGTAAAAAATAATACCACTTAAACAGAGTTATTGGAGCTAAGATTAAAAAAAAAAAACAAGAGAGTGAAGTGAACCTACTGTCTCCGTGACAGCTCAGTGGTCCCACCCTGTAGGCGACCTCTGACCCCGGACGATGGACGTCACCCAGGATCAGTGACCGTACTGGAAGAGTCTCCTTATGTGTGAGAAGACCTGAGTCATTGGTCCTGGAAAGAGGGGAGAGAACGATTGGGTGTAGGATGGAAATGGAAATTGGAGAAGAAGGTAAAGATAAAAGAGCGTGGAGAGAGACATGGATGTAGGGAAGGGGGAAGGAGGTGAGGTGAAAAGGTAAACCTCAAAGGAGGCAAAGAAGAGGACGGAGAAATAGGATCAGGGTAACAAAAATGTCAAAAGAGACAGAGGAGGAAATAGAAAGAAGTAGAGGATGGGGATTAAGAGCCACACGGTGGAGAGAAGCCGAAGAAAGTCGATTAAAGTAGGAAGGAGAGGAGAAGACCCTGCTAAAGGAGATGTCGAGGAGAGAAAGAAGGGAAGATGAAAGAAAAGATACTGACTTCAATAACTCTGTGGAGAGGGAGCGTAAAAACTTGTGCCCACAGCTAAAGTTCAACTACAAAAAGTTCAAATGGAGACGAGAGTTTGAGCTGACACATGACGTCTCCTTCAATGTTTCCGTTTCATAGAGAGGAAATGTTCGGAGCGGCCGGTCTGCAGACCCCCACGGACACCGTCCGCTCCCCGCTGCTTTGTTTAAGTCAAATATGAGTAAAAACTCAACACTAGAGAATCATCATGAACTGAGTCAGAGCCCAACAGCCCAGAGTCAGGGACAGAGATTAGAACTGAGTAATGCACAACGGATCAGAATCGGTAACAGGAAAAGACATTGGTTCCTACTTCAGGACTGGCCACATATTCAGTGAAGGTGACCTAAATACAGAAGCGCTAACAGCATGGAGAAAAGGATTTAAATACAGGAGGAGATAAAACATGAAGAGGAGAGTATAAATATCTGAAGGGGGTTTTCTTGGATGTGGTTACTTCAGTACAGAAAGCCATGATGTGATTAATTACTCACGGTTAGAGCTGTAATCCTGATTTTATTAACTATATAATCAAAAAGAATGTATTGAGAATTTGTTGAGAAGAATTTCTTTCTCTTTAGTGTTCCAGAAATAACTGGAACATTTCCAAATTGTTATGCCGGTGGAATATAACCATAAACTGTGAGTGTTTTAAAATAAATACGTACATACATAGATACATAGATATTTAACCATTTCGAAAATCAAAAATAAATGAGAAAAATGTCATATCACTTCTGCATTCCCAACATAAAATCCCTTCTGTCATTGTTGTATTTTAAAGAACGTCTTCAGCACCATCTCTCCATTTTGCTCTGTTCTTAGTTCTTCTTCACTTAAGATAATTTTTCAATCTTAATGCTCTTAATAAACGTCTTACTAAGTTCAATTAATTTTAATCCTCCTTAAATCCAGTCAAAAAGTATGTGCAGTGCAGTACTGTACCACTGGTCACGGTCGGCGTCGCAGTTGCAGTAGTGAAGTGAGTCTAGGCAGCTGTTGAGCAGACCACAGGCACACTGACGACTGCCCGGCTGGGCTCCAGCCCAGTACGTCTGGACCTGACCTGGATCTGGACCGCCCACCCACCAGCTGAAGGGCGCTCCCTCTGAAACACAACAAGGTTTGTGGACGTGGCTCTCAGTTTATTAGCTGAATGTGTGGTTTTAGAGAATATCTATAAAGTGGTTACCCAGATGTAATGAAAACAAAATGGCTGTTTCATATGTGACACAGGAACATAAAATGGACAAGCTTTCTGCAGTTTGAGCTCTTCACGCTGACTTTATGTCAGGGCTTGGATGAACAAAATGAAACGTAATATTAAAAACATCCTTCACCATCTGTTCCTACGTCCACATCTTAAAGCACCCATTAGATCTCAACCCCGGCCAATGCTGTCCTGTCGGTGGCCTTTAGTGAGTTCCCTCAGCCCGGCTGCCTTGTCTTATCACCGGAATTGGACAGATAATAGGCAGCTACTCTTTCAAGACTTCTCTCACTTACAAGTATCCTGATAAGTGGGTTCTGGGGGCGCACACAGAGGTGACTGTGAACTTTAAAACTAAACTTTCCAATTTCCTGAAGAAAAAAAAAAAAAACAGGATGCAGGAGAGGAAGGAAGTAATAGAGAACGGAATGGATGGAGACCTGTCTGCAGATGTTGTGAAAGCCTGGAAAAAGACAGGAAGGGCCAATCTAGTTTTTGTAAAATGTAATGAAAATGTGTAGAGAACTGACCTTTATCCTCTTTTCTACTTGGTACGGTGACGTTAATGGCTGTACCAACAAATGAGTGAAAAATCTCTTTTTTTGGCCAGGCTTAAAATAATAAAAAATAATAATTGACTCTCCCACAATGGAAACGTTACAGTGTAAACCAACAGGCTGCCACAGCAGGTGCCACTAGGGATACCTGGCTCCTCTGGGGATCCAACCAAAGATTGAATCGCTACACTGTGAAATCGGGGGGAGGTAGGGTGAGGGGTTTGCTTTAGATCAATGACTCACAAAGCCATCAAGCAATGAAACAGTAACATTTGGATATCAAAAACAAAAGTAGAAAAAAATGTAGATTCTTATTTCATTTGACAGGTTTTAAAACTTTACAAGACTTTAATGCTAAAGTGTTGGAAACATTTGTGGAAATTCTAGTTTTCTGCTGCACCATCAGAAAAACAACAACAACAACAACAGATGTAATAAATACTTCACTTCAGAGATAAAACACCAAACTCCATTAGTAACTCACAAGACTACCTTAGGTACAGACTCTCCACTTTTACCACACCTTGAACCTCACCTGGTGAGTTGAGGAGGCGGGACTTCCTGCAGTGATAGGACAGCTCCTGCTCACAGTGCTCTGATTGGCTAATAATGGCCAGTAGCTGCTCTTCGTCAGTGGCGTAGTCAAAGTGGACTGAATGCTGGCCTGACTCAGGAGACGTCAGAAGTCTGGTCAACTCTGTGTTGTTGTGTGGGATCATCATCCAGCCTCTGTCCTCTGGACAACCAGTGAATAAATATGATTGACTGTGAGACACGCTGACATCGTACACACTGTGTGTGTTTGTGTTTGCGAGCGCATCACCTGTCATGTTACAGTAGACAAGCTGTGGTTTGATTGGTCCACTGCCGTCCACATCTATGTAGTAATATCCCGATGTCTTGCCTTTGTGTTTGTAAGCCTCACACGACTGTGCGTGTGTCGCTGTGGAGAAAAACACAACAAATGACTATCAATCAACATTTGAACCGTCAATAACTAGTATCCCACTGAGTCCAGAGCTTGTCAGCGAGTGGCTAAATATTAAGATGTTTTGATGTCGTAAATTATTCACACTTTTAATTATATCACAATTTGGAACAATTGGAAAAAACAAAAGAAAAAACAAAAAAACAAGAGGATAATATAGCAGAGACTCAGCCAATAAAGTAATACAAATCCTTTTTACTATGGTATATGTACACACACACACACACACACACAATTAAAACATTGAGTTGCTGGTTTGTGTTGAGAGTTTAGATGTATAAAAATATGAAAATGACCTAATTACTATCAATAGCCACCAAAAGACCTCCAACCAAAATAATCTCTCCAAATCTCATTGATGTTTTCAATATTTTGTTTATATCCTATAAACACAGTGTAACTCCTTGGGATTAGGTTTAGGGATTAACTGGTTAGTGCATTTTTTTATATATTTTAAACAAAAATGATCCTTTTGAGCAGTGACATGCTACAGTCATTGTTAGTGAGAACCTTAATGATTCTAATAGCTGCTCACTTACAGCTGTGACAGGTGGCTCCTCTGTAGCCGCTGTCGGAGCAGTTACAGTAGAAAGTGCTCCAGGACTGAGAACATCTGCCGCCATGTTCACAGTGACTTGGAGAACACCTGAGAGAGGAGTTACAGAGAGAGGGAAAAATCCAAGGACATCATTATTTTTTCTGCAAGTTATGGCCTGTAAACACATGGCCTGCTCATCACCCCTACACTCTGGATTCTATTTCTTTGTGCATGTATGATTTTGGGATTTCATCAGCTCCTGGTTTTCCATTTTCTCTCTTGTGTTTCTCGTCTCGTCTGACACCGTGTTCTTTCCTGTTCCTGAGTTTGTACCTTGTCTTGTCTCCACTCTGTCCTTGTCTCCATTATTGCCCCTGTCTCCCTAATGTGTTCATTTGTTGCACCTTTGTCCACTCTCTTCTCAGGTAAACAATCCCCGTCTTCACCTGTGCTGTTGTTAGATTGTGTGTGATGTGTCTTCTGTTTATGCGGTTCTGCTCACAGCAGATTCAGCAGCACAGGGACAAGAGGGCAGCCCTCAGATCAGTGATGATGTCACCGAGTTGTCCCAAATTCAAGGATCCTTTCTTTATAGCCAAACAAAGGTTTTTCATCTTAGTTTCGATAGAGCTGTGTAAATCGTCTCTCTCCAGGAGTGTTTAAATGGAAGTGACTGCAGGTGTGAGAGGCTCATTGAGTGAATCCTGTTTGCCAAAGAATCCACCGTGCTGAGGAAACACTGCAGGCATTCTAATAAATACTCTGTGAAAATGACTCACAACTTGGTGAAGTCTCCCTCTTCACTGTGTGAGGATGAAACAATCAGGTGAACTGCAGGCTCTGACACACTGACATTATCCACTTTAAACCAATTGAAATGAATATTCACAACTGCATTTCTCATACTGACTGTCCACATTTTAATACTGAGAAAGTCTAATCATGGGCTTTGGTTTGTCTTTGATGTAATTACAGATATGATTAACTTTATTTACAAATACAAAGATTTTAGACCAGGGGTGTCAAACATACAGCGAAAGATTTTAGACCAGGAGTGTCAAACATACAGCTTGCGGGCCAAAACCAGCCCACTCGGGTGTTTTGGAATATTGTTTGTTAAATTATTCTTCAATAAATATGATTAAATAATAATAAATATCTTATATACAACCTTCCAGTGGACTCACCACCTGCAGGAAGGTTTGGGGGGGTTGGTATGGTGCAATGTGATTTGGGTGGTGACTGCTGCCCCCGCGACCCGGTAACAGATAAGCGGATGAAAATGGATGGATGGATCTTATATACATGTACATATTTCTTTCCATGAAAACGAAGGGGAAAAACATAGACTTGTTATTTATAGGTAATTAAGTTATGATTGTACTGGTCCGACCCACTTGACATCTAATTAAGAAAAATACAAACTATATTTTTTTAAATATAAAAATATAAATGTATATAAATGTAATTAGTGAACAATAACCACCAAGACCTATCAAGACAAAGCAAATGTAAGAATTACAGGCTGCTTAAACTCATTGACATTATTATGGCTGCAGGCTCTACAGTGAGGCCTGGTCTGGCAATTGGAAAAAAAAAAAAGCACAAAAAGCAAAAAATAATAAAAAAATAATTGTATCTGGAAATGAGGAAAAAGCAACAGAGTGTATACAAGTACAAGACCCTGCAGATCCACAAATCGCCTTATTGAACAACAGTTTTTTTTTAACTCAGTGTGCAGAACTAAAACCTCATGGCAGTGGCCACTCGCTCGATTGGCCACTGCCATGGAGAAATGGAGCCTGATTTGTGCTGCTATTAGAGGTGAGACAGTTGTGGTTAGAAAGCTGTAATGTTTAACAGTCAGTTACAAAACAGCTTAATTTATTGCATATTAAGTTGGGAGTAAGTGCAATTCAGCCAGCTGTGGGCTAATTTGTAATTTCTGTACCACGGGGGGAAAAAATGTATACTGAACACTGTGTCGTTACAAAGTTATATGCTAACATTTAGCTGTAAATGGCATTATTTCTCACTGCATGCTGCTGCAGAAAATGTAGGATTCAGTCAGGTTTATTATAATTGGACGTTCATGCAGGGAACCAAAAAGTAGAATAAATGTGTTTACAACAAACACCAAAGAACAGGCTTTAACAGAGGAGCAGAGTTCAAACCACAGGTACAGTCTGTACCTTAACTTACTGTACTGCAGCTCACAGTGGGATCCAAAAATGTTTTGTAAAAATGAACTGTGAATCATTTGAAGTTAATTTATCTCCTAATGGTCTGTTTAGATTTCACATTAATATCAATCATTAAAATCAGCACCAAAAACTTTAACACCTCAAAATACTTGACGTAAAACCAAATTGTGTACGAAAGATGACGAAAGGTGTCCACAAAAATGAGACACTGTTATAACTTTAACACCTCAAAATACTTGATGTAAAACCAAATTGTGTACGAAAGATAGGTGTCCACAAAAATGAGACACTGTTAATGTGCAGAAAAGCAGAAGAGAAGATGAAATCAGGGTTGAGTGGTGATGAGTGGAGCATCAGCCAGTTCCTGGCAGTAAGTGGATATCAACTCTGGACAGTGAACTAATTAAATAAGGTCAATCAACTGGAGCTGAGAGGAGCAGGAAAATTCAGAGTCATTTTATTTAAAGAGGGAGGATAAGTCAGTCGGTCTGAAATCCATAAATAGAGATTAGACGTTGTGGTAAAGTTAGATTAACAAAACAGGAAGTAAAGCACACAATAAAAGGTTTCTTCTAAAAGAGACTTATTGTGTTGTTTTTATGCCAATTAATATTGTTCCTTGGTGTCAAATGAGATGAGTCACATGATCTGGACGGAAAAACAAAAGGATTGGATTTTTTTCACAGAAAAGCCTGTTCTTGCACCTTTCCCATGAAACGGTAACAAGCAGCTGCATGCCTCACCTATGTTTTCAACAGGCAGAAAGACATGAGCAATGACACGTCATGTAACCATGGCAACAACAAACTGCAACCTGACTGAACATGTCTGAGCCAGAGTCAGTAACTAACCTGGATGTTTGTCAGAGATTATTCTGTTTTTTACTTTGAAATTACTTTTGCATCAATATGTCAACTGAACAAAGTTGTACGACTCGCTGACTGACTCCCCGTGGTTCAAGAGAGCTCGTGTTCTTTTAACACTGTGCAGCTGTGTCCAGCTTTTGGACTGTACGTAGTTGAGGTCCAGCAGATTGTAACACCTCTACTAACACTGACAAAGACAATTTTGCAAAAAAAATTTGTTAAACTAAAACCTAATTATTTATCAACTGTCAGTATCACCGTATTCAACAGTCTTTGCCCAAAGTCATACCATAATAAGCATAAAACAATGCAACAGAATCAAATCTATGAAGTAGTTATTGAAGAAACATAAATATTGATCTGTGATTAGCTGCTTCACTTGCTGTGGGCAGAGAAATAAAAGTAAAACTAAAGCAGATTTCTCACCTGGTAATGATCGTATGCAATAAAAGCATGGTTACATTTGATGAAAACTAAAAATGCAGCATTAACTACTGACTTGACTGTTGCCCACCTTGCGGCCCCCACACCCTCCAGGCAGCTATTCACTGTTTTTTATTGATTGGACTCCTGCATCAGGAAAACTTAATACACTATAATTATTTTGTCTTTTATTCATTCACAGTTTGTTCTGTTTGTCAAGTCCACTCACAAACACACAAACTCCATCCACAAACACCAGGCCTTGAACTACCAACCGGTTGATCGTCTGTTTCCATCATATATGTTCCTGGATTTTTTAAAATACTTGAAAACATTTTGAAAATAAAAAATTCAGCCAACAACTAATTGTGAGATTTCCTTTTCTAGTTATCTGTTGTGAACAATTAAATAAAGTCTGTCCCTGCTGACAGCAGTCCAGGACAGAGTTAACCGTTTTATAATTTGTGTTTGTTTTAATAAACTGAAACTAAAATCCCATCACGGAGGGTAAACAGCTTTTACATTTTAACTAGAAAAATCGAATAAAGAAACTGCATCATCGGTTCTCAGGTCTCTCAGACTCTCATTAAGTCTCTCCATTTAGACTAAATGAGTTTCCACACTAAAACCCAGCCAGCAACATTTGCAAACTTCTTAATTTGAAGTTCTCTGAAACTCCAGAGAAGTGAAGAAACCACGTGTCCAGCAGCTGTGGAGAGTCTTATCGATAAACATGGTCTCAGCTCCCCTGTGGTGCGGGGCCTTGGTAAAGTCACATGCAGATTTACAGTGAATTTCAGAGGAAACCACTGTGTAAAACTCAACTCCACCTGATTTCCTCTGTGTATGAACAACAGGACAAACACTTTTTCTTCAGCTCCAGTTTGAACTGAACGGCCGCGGAGCAGCAGCCTCTTGTTTAGTCACTACTTTATCTTCATTGAAAGAGTAGACAAGAAGAGCAGGGAGACAAATGCTTGTGCACGCACCACTTTGCCAATCCACTTTATTCTCACTCTCCCTGTGCATTTCTGCAAAGGTTAAGGAAACTTTTCTTGGCAGGAATCTCCTGCAGCCACATTTGCAGAACTCTTTCCAGCAGCATTAAAAGAGTTTTCTATCATTCTGTCAGCATCCAGTTTGCTGTCGACAGCCTGTTGCCACACGCAGCCTCCACCTTAGAATACAGACAGATAACAAAGAGGCTGAGACAAACGCACGGGTCAGAGTGTGAGCCTTAATGTACTGTAACTTTTTCAAGGACTTAAAGTTTCCAAAACACTTTGTCCTCCACAAAAACCTGCAGGAGTCGGAGCTTAACAAACGATTTTCAATGCAATGTGACAGTGCACTGCGCCGAGCTCAGATCACAGGACCCCAGGATTAAGGGAGAATGGGGACTTTGTAGCTTATCAAAAAGTTTGTAGTGCACTGTGACAGTGTCCTTCAACATGTCTTGGATCACAGGCCCCGCGTCCAATCTCTTTAGTTTTTTTTCTGCCTCTGGGCAAACCAGCACAGCTGGACCCCTTCCCCTGACTGAGTGGTATCACCGGACAGGTGGACCAGGATGTTCTTCAAAGAAAGAAGGATTTTTTCTTTTTCTATCTTTTCTGATTGCTGTGCAGCCAGATAAGCTGTCACATCACAGACAAGCACACAATCAGAGACACAGACAGATGGAGACCGAGAGACAGACAGAGATGGACAAACAGAGAAAGGGAGAGGGAGGTGTGGGTGAGATAAGACGAGAGAGAGTGTGTTTTTCTGTGTGTGTGTCTGTGTGTGTGTGTGTGTGTGTCCATGCTTTGACAATGAGTTGTTATTAAGTTGTGAAGGATCTGACAGAACTAAAGGGGTCAGAAATACAGCTGCAGTCGTTCATGTCTGCCTCTGGTCTCTGTGTTGGTGTTAACACACAACACCTGAAGAACAACAACAGAAAAACATTCTACACCGATCACTAGTCCATGACACGGGCTTCTCCAAAACTGAACATTGGTTGGTTTCATTTTCCATTTCTATGGAACCAAGGAACTGATAACTGACAATGGAACTCCAGTGAACACATCCACCAACGTTGTTGTAAAAAAAAAAAAAAAACCTGACTATTAACACAAATGAATCAACATAAGGACAGTCTACAGACAGCCCTCTGTGGTCAGCCAACGCCCTCTTGGTTCACTGTCTGTGGCTGTCAGATGTCAATCTTCTTGCCCCAAAATAAATTGCATTTACATGACGGTTTGGAAATAAGCTACAGATTTGACATCCATCACTGCTTTACTGAACCCTCTGTGATGGTGCATTGATGATATGATGTGAGATATTCCATCGTAATCATTCCCCTAGACCTGGCTCTAAAAGTTGCTACTGTCTGAGGAAAAATTTAAATAAAAATATCTTTCTTCTTTTTGGTCTTAATTTTACAACCTAAAAACAAGGAAGGTTATAATACACTCTTCCCGTGTACAACTGACTAACACACTACTGTGCAAACTGTTTCTCAGCCTGGCTGTGTAAATGCAGTGGGTGTAGTTTATTAAATAGGCAGTTTTATATTTATTCTTTGATTTTTAAGGCTCTCTGTTGCCTTCAGCGAGAGAAATTTTTAAACCCTATTCTTGAGAAAACAAAATCTCCAGATATATAATCACTTCAGTTACCTCAGGGAAGATGGTTTCAGTTTGAAGCTGAGCACCATTGTGTGGAGAGGCAGCGGGGAATCATAAACTGTTCTTAAGTCAAATAGAAAATCCAATCCTGGGCTTGTCAGATGAAACTGTATATAAAAATCACATTTTTCTCCTGCCGCCATTTAATCACAATGTCAGATCACAGTTATAGTATTTACTGCATCTCTCATTACCCTCACCTCATTTTCTTTTTACTGCAGTATCTATCAGTACCTATCTGAATAGAAGTACCATAGTATAGATAGTATAGGTTCAGGATTTTGAAGTGAAAATTCTATTGAACCCCAAGTGTACTCTGCTCTTGTTTACTTCTATATTAGAAGACAAGCTGCCGTGCACCTCCACTGTGATGGTAGCTGTGTTAGAGGAGTTCTTTAGCTACTCGTCAATAACGGAGCCTGTGTTGGGAATCAAAGAGTCGACTCAGGTGGTGCAGGACAGCCTGTCTTCCAGACGCCTCCTCTGGGAAATGTTCTGGGCACGTTCATCTGGGAGGAGACCCCAGGGAGACCCAGGACACGCATGACTGATCACACCTCCCAGATCGACTTAAAACACTTTGGCATTTCCCAAAGGAGTTGTTGGAAGTGACTGGAGACAGGATTGGGCACAGGCCCCTCAAGACTTAAAAATAAGTGTAGAATGACAGACGGAGCGAAGAAACTACTGGGAAAAACGACTGTTGAATGGATGTGAAAAAAAAAGCCACTGAATCTTATTAGAAGATGGGAAATTGCACATAGACACACATGACCATTTACTTAAACTTTCAGAAATCTGTGTTATTTTTATACTGTCCTAGGAAACTTTCTAATTTCAAACAGGAGTTTGTTTGTAATGCAAAAGACCCCCCCCCCGTCCTCCCCTCCCACTTCTTTATAATTAAAGTTATTCTGATTCTGATAATAGTAATTAATCTTGATTAATCCACAGCTACCAAGATTAAAAATGTTAATCATCTGACAAGCCTAAAACGTACTTATTAAATCTCTAAATGAAGCTGAGGATTCATCAGCAATAAAAAAGAGAATCTTCTATTTGACGTTGGTGCTCTACACTCGGTATCGTCACCTTCACTCTGGGGGAGTGCAGTGTGTGTTGGAACGTGCCACTGAGAACACACTGCGACTGTTTCAGGAGCTGCTGAAAAATACAGGAGCCTTAAGATTTAAAGGAATTGGTTATTCTGGCTCCACAGGCAGGACTTCAGACAACAATTCACTGCTGCCTATCTATATGTGAGTGGGACCACGTGTTAGATGTTGTATGACCAAACTTTGACTATTTTAGACACACACCCATAGGTAGAACAGGGAGTTGCATCTCTGCCTTCATTTATTACTGTTAGCTCTTTGAGCTTCATGACTTTACGTCATGTTCACCGCAGTGACTGACTGAGAGCTGGATCCTGCATAAAATGCAAGACTCTCTTCCTGCAGAGCCTTCACAGGCTTCACCCAGCTGCAAAGTAGTCACACATTCTCTTTTTTATTTGGCTGCTTCCTTCGACTCTGACTCTCTTTTTTGCCAGGTGGTCTGATTCGACTGTAGGTCAGTGGTTCTTAAGTATTTTCTGTCATGCCCCCCCAACGTCCCCTCCCCCCCCATGAACTTAATCAACACTCTTCTTTACAGGACACTGACCTGTCAATGATGCCACACATATCAATCTGCAGGTGGTCGTACGTCCCCAGCAGTCTCTGCTGCACTTCAATCAGGTCCACAGTTTGGTCGTCCAGAGTCAGGAGACGCATGCAGCCCTGGAACACGGTGAAGGGGTTGGTACAGTCCACACCGCTCTGCTGAGGAGGACAGCCTGAGGAGAAGTAGAAAAGTCTGTCACTAAATGGTTCGACCCAGTTCTACTACATTTGTTGAACGATGAAGATAGAATAGTTAATTTTAGAAACTCATGTTATGAACCAAAGAAATATCCTGGGTGATAAAATTGTCAAAAATGCAAAAGATATTGGAATATGAAACCAATAATCCCAGAAACAATTACAGTGCGATATAAAAAGGCTCTTATGTGAATACTATATGAAGTATTCCCGGTCTATTATTATTATTGCCTATCTTCATGTATAAATAATGACCCTTATTCATGGTTATACACTACAGGATTAAAGCATCGCTGGAGCTCCGAGAGATGCTTTTAATCACAGACAGAAAGCGTTACATCCTTGTTTTCTTCCTGCTTCTCTGTTATTAACACTGAATATCTCTACTCCAAAAAAGAAAGAGCTGATAATTAATGCTACAAAATGTTAAATATATATATATATATATATCTACTGCGTGTCAGTGCAGACAAGGGCGCAAGTGATACTTTATTCAGCAGTCTCTTATCTTAATGTTTTGACTACACTTCAGCTAACTACAAATGTGGCAAATCTTTTTTTCAGCATTTGCTTAGCTACAGTAACAGTTAAGTCAGAAGGTTGACTTCAATCTCTGGTCATTTCTGTTACATTTTATCTTCTTTTTTTTAAAACAACTCATCTTTAACTTGAGCTAACATTTACCAATTAATGATTTACTACTGTAGTAAGAGTTTACATTAGCTTATCTAATTTTGACATTTTCCATTTATTTAACAGTTTTTTAAACTACAAATCCAATGGTTGGTTTGTTAATTTGTGGTATAAAAATACAAATAACTTATAACTAACATACAGCTTAGTTAAAAATATATATATATATATCTTCCTTGTGTGGTCTGTCCTAAAATATACCAGAAAAGTTATTTGCAAATAAAGTCAATGAGATAAATGTAAAGCTTAGCTTTTTTTAACAATAAAAAAGAAACAATTTGCATTTGTATTTATTGTAGTATATATTTCTTATATATATATCTTTTGCTTTCTAATTAAGGTCTTAAGTATAACAGGAAGAACAGTTGGCCCCAGGTTATGTTGGGTTAAATTATTTTCCACATATTTTAACCTGTCCTTAAATAGAAGCCTACATTAAACAGGTAAACAGCCGCCCCAGGCACCCTGGAAATCTCACTGGAAGTTGAATGAACTGTTTCAGTGCAGACATGAGGCTCATTCTGTTTGAAACACTCCGCCAGGATAAAGCCGATAAAGTGAATGAGCTTCATGTCTGATCCAGCAGTGATTCATGATGCATGAGGTTTAGAAAGCATCCAGTGGACAGACACAGCGATTCCGCTCTGAGCTCTGACCGGCTCTAATTACACTCGGCCCATCAGGCACACAAATCGGCAGAGGAGGGGGTCGGGTGGGGGTCAAATGACTCAGTGTTTATTGTTGCTTAAAACTTTAAGAGGCTAAAAAAAAAAAGAAAAAAGAAAAACCCAAACTTTTTCCTCCTACGGTTGACATGATGAACTCTTTCTCTTATGTTGCAAAAATATTTATTTTGAAAGATACAGTTTTTATTCCTAGGTTGAGTGAAGTGCTGAAATATGTAAGATCGCTTGTTTAAACTAAATACGGCTGTATGAACCTACAACCAGAGCGAATAAGCTAACACAAACAGCCTCCACAGATTAATCTGTTGTTGGTCCTCCCTAAACAGCCGTGACCCAGTGATGAATTAGACTTGACAAGACCAATGAAGGAGCCCGGAGGGATCTGTTACCGATGTGGCAGATTGTCTAATTGTGAGTTACCACCACCTTCGATTTGATTCTTCCAATACTGGGAGAAGTTGTCTGAAACAAAAAGGTCAAAAAGTGCAAAAAAAAAAAAAAAAAAAAAAAGTAATGGATTAATAAAAGCAGCATTACTCTGAGAAGAATTAGGATTTGACTCTTCTTCACAGACAAACAGGCAGAGCTGTGACACGGCTAAATTTCTTTTTCTGCTGCATAAATTATGATTTCATTTGTATGTGAGAGAACACAAGTGTGACTAGAACGGGGGGGGGGGGGCGTGCAAATTAAAAAAGCAGGAGGCTGAAAAAAGTTTGAAAATGAAGGTGACTGGAGGCAGAGCAGCGAGATTGGCTCAAAGAAAGGAGGACGGATTTGGGAGGGAGAGACTTAAGCAGCTTTATGACTTCATCCTCCTCCCTGGGACAATAAACACACAAAACTGATCTGGAGATGATAATTATCACCTGAGTACATTCATGAATTTTAACCAGTCCCAGAGTCCATGTGAGCAGTTTTTTATCCTTACTTAAAAAAACAAACAAACAAACAAAAAAAACTTCATATCAACCTATTTTATAATAGACAAAAAAATAAAACCCTTCGAGCTGATGCAACACTGTCTTCTTACCACCAAGGAAGAGCTGGCTCTCAGCAGTCAGAGGGAGGGGGAAGCTGCTGTGAGCCGTCGCTCCTTCATCCTTGTCTACTTTGATGCTCAGGCAGTCGTTTTTGGAGGTCATCTCCACTGAGTGCCACTGACCGTCATTCAGACCTGAGCCTTTAAACAACAAGAGTCATGACCTTCATTAGTGTTTGTGTTTCTGAACTATATATTTTATAATGATATTCGAACTGAAATACTGCAGTACTAATACATCACTGTAAAAATCAAAATAAGACTTTACAGCCTGAGGTACTGTAACCAAGGTCTACAATCAACGTAACCATGAAAACAACCCCGATCATCAGGGTAACAGTCAGTGCATCATTAACTTTATGGTCCATGGCTACTTTGGATGCCTGTGGAGTCTGGATCAGACTGGGTCAGCATTCTCATGGACCTCGTATGCGCTCAGACTTAAAAAGTGTCAGAAAGTAATCATATACTTTAATCTGTATTAAAGAGGTAGTGTGTGGTTCAATACTGATAAAAATGATGGATAAACATGAGAATTGCAAATGCAGAAGAACTCCTACCTGCACTGAGCTCCAGAGCGGCCCTGCCGGCTTTCCTGATCTGCAGGCGAAGTCTGGCCTCGCTCAGGTATAACCAGACACTGGTCTCCTGCTGAGGGAGGGCAAAAGTCAAGAGCAATCCGGCTTGGTTCCACGTCCTAAACTGCAACGTTACGGTGACAACCCCTGATGACCAGGATGTCAGTGCAGGCAGCTGCAGGAAGCTCTGGGAGTCGGTGAACGTCACAGCGACCGACACTGGCTCGGCACAGGAAAAGGTCACATTGCCCTGAGAGAGAGGGAGGGCGAGGGAGATGCGATTATAACAGAGATGATAAAACATGAATATTTAACAGTAGCAGACGCTGACTGGCTGTAACTTGATGTCACTGAGGTCTTATCAGCACCACACTTGTATTACCATACTGACATTTGCTGAGCATTTAAACTCTGTTTGCACCTGTATTCACCAGAGATTTAATTTGAATTCCTGGAGCATCAACAGGACCTGTCATTTTAATTGTATCAAATATCGTGTCCTTATTAAGTTAAATTACTGTAAAACTGTCAACTTGGGTCGAGTCACATACAAACACTGACAGCACTAAGATCTTCTGTGCTGTGCTCTGGACACTTTCATTACTTCACATCCCAACTTCTTCTGTGGGAGATTAACTTTTTGGTCACGGTGGAAATGGTTTCTCTTTGTTGAAATCAAATTTGGTTTAACTTTATCAGTACTCACACTCTGCACACTGAGAGTCGCTGAACTAATCTGTGACAAATACAACTTTGCTCCGGTTAATAATAAAAAGCAGGAAATGCTGATTTCTTCTCCGTCGTCTCCTTCTCTGCAAAATTTACTCGAGTTTTTATTTTCACAGATCTTTTTATTTTGTTCCTTTCCTTCATCTCCAGAACCTCAACAATATAATTCAGTGATTAATTTGAACCTTTATTTATCAGGTGAATAAAATCGCAAGAATAATTTATATTCGTCAAACATCAACCTATATACAACTGGATAAATGACGACAGTTAAGGTCAGAACAGAGAGAGAATCTGGACAACAGGCAGGCCAGTCAACCACACACAGTGTAAAACAACTGAGCCTTATGTTGATGCTCCTTTTTTACCTAATTCTGGGAGTAAAACCTGTAAGAAAATAACTATGTTTAACAGACAAGATATACTGAACTTATTTTAGATTCAACATTAAAACGTGTATAAAATATATGCTAATGACAGAAACCTGTATCTTTGTATAGAAAACGTAAGTAATTAAAAAATGGACTCTGAGTGAACAACGTGTCATTACTCCCAACCTGAAGGTCAGCAGCTCTGGATAAACAGTTTAAAAACAGTCCCTAATTGCTCTCGTCTGAAGAGGAAAGGCAGCAACTCTCTGTGAGAGCAGCGTCACGTTCACACTGTCAAGTGAGTGGTGGCCCAGCGCAGCTTAATTAGGTATTCACCGAGTGCTGTTGTTGTTGTGGTGGTTTGCTTGTAGGCGTCAATAACAAAATTATAGAATTTGAGCACTGTGGCAGAAACAAGTCTGCTGAGTCAGAGTACTACCTGCGACACAGAGTGAAAATGAAATACAATTCAACGATTTCATCAACTGCACATTGTTGCATTACTTTATTTCTTATTCCTCAAGAACCGCTAAGGAAAAAAATTAAATTTGAAATTATGGAAAGAAATTGTCTATATTTATAGATATATAGACAGACAGACAGACGTGTAGGAACTCCAGATGACGGTGACCTGGTGGTTGTTCTGTTTGGCCAGGTTTACCAGGCTCAGGTCATTATACAACAGGTTTTCCAAACATCCCTTAAAACTCCTGTTGGACCGGATGGGTCTCTGTAGTCCATGGCTCTGGACCGCTCCCACACTCAGCTGCAGGCAAAAGGTATAGTGTAAAAAAAAAACAGTGTGTCAATCTGTAAAACGTGTATATTTGCTGTATTATGTATTTTCCCAGAGTGACAACAAACATTCAGTTGGTACCCTCTTCATCAAAGTACAATGACTAGGACAATATTGCTCAGCAACTGTGTTCTCCAGTTTTCACCTGGTGAATATCCCATTGGCTGAGCTCAGCTGGTATATGAACCTGCTGAGTGTTTTTGTCCACAGTCAGGTTCAGATGAGTGCTGAGCTGCTCCAGTTTTACAGTGTGCCAGTGTTGGTCATCCAACAGGCTCCCCAAGGAAACAAGAAGCTGGCCCCCCAGGGAGGAACCCATACCTGAAGGACAAGTCAAGATAAAGAAAATCATTGATCTGTTTTTTTTTTCCTCATGAAGATTATTATATTTTTAGAAATACAATACATTTTCAGGTCATGATTTATTTAGAGGTACTACTATCTTAAAACACTCAGGGGTCATCAGTGGTCTGTACTCTTTTATCCGTTTCATACAAGGACAAACGTTCTTGAGAAAATCAAAAGGCAGTCTTGAAAAATGGCCTGGTCAGAGGGAGGGTTTTTTTTTATCTTGGCTTCACACAGGGAGCAGGTCAGTCAGGCCACTCATTAGAGGGAACACTTCTGTGTGCTGGAGGGGAGCAAACCAGAGCCTGATAAATGATGATGCTGCAAAATGGCATAATTAATGGCAAGACGTGACTTTGACAGGTGGAGACGGGGAATCCAAGGCTGCACGTTATGGTTTGGCAGGGGAGGAAGCACAGGCAGACTCTCTTCAGGTGCAGCAGGTTTATTCAAAGTGCAAAAACTCACAGGACCAAGGTATCAACTACAAGCATCATCGTCTCCAAACTCCTGGCCACAAAAAATGAGAGAGGTATATACAGTAAACCCTTGTTTTTCGCGGGGGTTACGTTCCAAAAAGAACCCGTGATAGGCAAAATCCGTGAAGTAGAAATCTTTATTTTTTTTACAATTAAATACTACTTAAAAAAGAAGAGAAAGAACGAACAAACCATTTTACAGTCTCAACCATTTGTTTCACAAATAAAGTAAAATAAAAGTACTTTAGAAACGTTTCAACAAATAACTTCTGTAATGTACTGTCAAATAATAATTTTAATCATCAACGTGAACAGAAGGCTTCAAATTGCGGAGATTAGCACCGCCCACCGTGAACGGGAGAAAATTAAAAATGATTATGAAAAAAATACAAATTACCTGTACAGTCGGACAAATAGTGACTCAGCTTTATTTCACTGCTGAAGCGGAGTGACTTTTTAGCCAATCAGAATGCAGAACACAATGCACGATGCAAATCCGTGAAGTAGCGAAACCGTGAAAAGTAAACCGCGTTATAGCAAGGGATCACTGTATACCCAGAGCACCAGGTGACACCAGTGAGACTAATCACAGAGACACAGGTGAGGTGTGATCACACTGATTAACCCCACAGCAGACAGCAGGAAGAGGAAACAGACAGACCTAACACTGCATCCTTCAACAGTTGGCAGGAAATTAAGATGTAGATGGTCTGCTGTATTATTTCTCACTTTATTTTCCAATTAATGTCTTTTTTTTTTTACTTCTGTCTCTCTTAATGTCATTTGGTCTTAACTCCCTTCTAGTTTCATCCCAATCACCCTCTTCTTTCTTTCCTTCCTTTGTTCCTTAGTTTTTCTTCCTTTCATTCATTTTTTTATTCTTTCTTTGTTTCTTTATTGCAATCATGCATTTCTTTGTTCTTTCTTTCTTTCTTTTCTTCTTTTCTTCTTTTTCTTGTTTGATGTTCTTCCCATCTTTTTTCTTTACTTCCTTCCTTAATACTTACTTTGTTAACTTTTCTTTTATGCCTTATTCATTTTCTTGATGTGTCCTATTTTCAGTGGTTATGGAAAATCTAATTCCTCAGGACTGAACTGAGATCACTCTGCAATTTCCAGGGTTTTGGCAGGGAATTCCTTGCCTAAATTGATTGGCTGATGATGGTCTTCAGCACATGAAGACAAGGTCTGTCTGTGATTTTGTGCCATATAAATGAAATGATTTAATTAAAACAAGAATACAATTTCAGATTGTCTTGTTTAAAACCTGCAGTGATGTGCAGTCCCCAGTCTTTGTGGTTAATTTACATTTTATCCTCAAGCATTTACCCAGGTTTTACCAAATCACTTTATTTTTTTCCTTTTTAAATCAAACAGGAAAAATACCTGGTTGGCTTTACCAGCTAGAAAAACTCGCCTTTAGGTACAATGTGGTTGAGCTGTCCATGAACTGACTGACACTAAATTTCTTTGAGCGGAAGATTAAACAGTTTTCACAGATTCGTACTTTCCAGGAGTTAACTGTTCTTTCCCAGATGTCTCCTCCAGGTAACGTCACCTAATCAGGTTGTGTCTGCCAGAACATGTCTCTGCTCAAGTCCCAAATGTGTTTATGAAGGATGACAGTGACAGATCTTAACAGGATACAGTCTGTGATAATTGTTTCAGCGTCACATCCTGATTAAATAACGCCTTGCCCTGAAACAATTCTCAGCCGTGGGGAATTAAGAGAATGTAAAAATATATATTAATAATAATACAGCATTAAATTGGATTAGTACTGAGATCCATCCATCCATCCATTTTCATCCGCTTATCCGTTACCGGGTCGCGGGGGCAGCAGTCGCCACCCAAATCACATTGCACCGTACCAAACCTTCCTGCGGGTGGTGAGTCCACTGGAAGGTACCAACCGCCCTAACCGGGATTCGAACTTGCCCAGGAGGTGAACCCTGGGGTTCCACACCAATGACAGAGACATTGCCTCTGGGCCAAAGCGCCACATGTTGTTTGAAATCATCAAAAAGTTCATTTTTGACATTGCTAGTAAAGTTCCTTTCACTCAAAATGCATCATAGTTATTAACCAAGACTTTGAAAAGCCAGAGAGAAATAAGGAAATGGCTGCTCACTCACCGAGTTAATGACAAATATGAATGTGCGTTCTGATGAGACCTCAAACAGACACAGGGCAGAAGAACAGAAAAGTTCTCATTCCACAGTTTCAAAAACTTAACAGGTCCTCATCTTTCCTCCGCTTCAACCTTGACCCACTTGAGGTAAAACCGTGAACAGCTGTTGAGCAGATTTGATCGTCCTAGAAGGTTCATGTGCCTTTGAAAGATATGATAAATCTTATGAAGCCAGCCCAGCGAGTGATTAATGCGTGAAAGATAAATTAAAAAAATTAATCACAAAAGGACGTAGTCAAATGAGAAAAGCAAGCAGGGGAAAAATAACCAGTTGATTGTCTCTACAAAAGATGAGAGGCTGCATTTTGGACTCACACTAAACGTGTGAGGAAAGTCGAAGAGTTACTTCAACTGAGAGGTTGTTAGAGGAGAACCAAGACTTGAAAATCAATGATAGTCTTAGTTTATTAAATATATATATATATATAAATTATTTAGTTAATAGGGTTTGAAATTCTGAGAGACAGCAGAGACGAATCGTCGACATGAAATGTGCATGAAGTTGAGTAAAGTGTAAGTAAATAGAATGATGGAAAGAAGGGAAGTTATTCAAATTGTAGTATAGTGATTAATAAGGAGAACAAATTGAAAAAAAATATGTTTATTTATAACTGTAACAAGCTATTTAATTACTTTTTTTAAATCTTATTTCTAAGTATTTGATTTTCAGAAACAGGTTAAGTCAGGGCAATCAGTTTAGCCGAGCCTTGTTTTTGCTTCGTAAAGAAAACACTGCTGACAATAACATATGATCAGATTGTTACACTAAAGAAAAATGCTAGACCTAGAAATGGATGAGAGAGAGAGAGAGAGAGAAAGAGAGAGATGAAAGTCTGGTGAAGATGTCTGGACACTACTTTACAGGTCTGGAATCATTTCTGCCTCAGCTGCTTCCACACTCCTATACAGCACTCCCCTCCAGGGTCATTACAAGGGTCACTTACTGTATTTTCAGCCTGTCAAGTGATACAATATAGTATGTATTAATGTACAAGGATTTAAAGGAAGTGGCCAGTGAACCCCAACGGCTCAAATCCAGGATTACAGAGGGAGCTGGAGCACCTCCCACCAGTCATGGGGCAAGAGCATCTGCTGGGAATGCTTTTTTTTTTGTAGCAAATGCCCATCCAGCAGGTGGCACCCTAGAGAACAGGCAGATCTGGCCCATGCCGAGAAGTGGTCAATAGCCATTTATCCATCCATCCATCCATTTTATCAATAGCCATTTATCCATCCATCCATTTTCAGCCACTTATCCGTTACCAGGTCGCGGGGGCAGCAGTTGCCACCCAAATCACACTGCACCGTACCAACCCCCCAAACCTTCCCGTGGGTGGTGAGTCCACTGGAAGGTACCAACCGCCCTAACCCAGGAGGTGAACCCTGGGGTTCAACACCAATGACAGAGACATTGCCTCTGGGCCAAAGCGCCACCAACAGCCATTTAAGACAATCATAATGTTTCCTAATGACAGTTTTATCACATGACAACACACGTTAGACTGTGTAGAAACACAATTCACGTTTTAAAAACCTGTATTTATGACCAAGGCCTCTTTAATCTACAGATCCTCAGAAACCCAGATGATACAGTAACAAAACTCTAAAATACTAAACTAAATATACTATACTAAATATTTTGTTGTTTCCTCCTCTCTCTTTTGTTTTGACCCATCTTTAATAACCACAATGAAATATATACAGAAAACAACTTCCTACATTTCTCTCAGCCTTCTCCTTTTAGTTTTGAAACGTCGGCTCATTTTTCTTTTGACTACAAAACTCAGCAGTAAGCATCCCATTTAACAGCAGGAGGCTGCAGCACGGATTGTGAAACTCGCACAGGCTCATTGTGGACTAAGCAGAATCAGTGACGGCAAATGCAAGTTACCATTAGTTATCACCCACGACAGGCTGTTTTTTGGGGTTTTTTTTCTGCTGTAAAAGCGGATAATTGACTCCAGAGAGTCATGGTTGTCCTTTTAAGTGGCATTAAAGATGAACTGGTCAGAGCAGAGCAGTGTCTTTACAAAATCACCACAAAAAGGTTAATTAATCTTATTTAATTGTAATTAAACTTAGCTTAATAATTAATCATTTGACAGCTTAAATGATGTCATATCTTGGTTTTCCTATTCCACTTTCTTATAAATTCATGTCATTCGATTTCATTGCACCATTAGAACAAGTCAAATTCTTCTGGTGTCTATAACAGTAAGAGAAGGTGGAGGTTCCATTCATCCAGCAGTTTCTACTAAATGTCTCACTTTGGTGCTTTTTGTAATTTAGGCAGCAACACTTAACACCATTTGTCCAGTGTGCACTGAATCAGAGTACTGTGTGTTTACTGCTGTGTACTACAGCCTGCTGCTGACAGTTTGGGATTGAACTGAATCACGGAGCAGTGGACTTCATTATGAGACGCTGACACGTTGATAAATGTAAAGCAGAAAGGGAATCACGGCGTATGGGGGAGCGGACATTCATCTTAATGAGCCAGCCAATTTAATTCAACTGCTTGGACGCCTTTAGTCAGACAGGATGGGGTTTGTCCGCCTGTCTGTTCGCCTGTGCATCGGCCAGTCCGTTGTACTCTTCTAGTAAGGCTTTTATTATTATGCTAATGAATGTTGCTTGTTGTAATAAAAAAAAATCACGTCAGGTACATCTGCTGTGTCTACAATCTTTATGTTTACATGTTTAGGAGCAGTCCGTGTCCTTGTCACGTGGTGTTATCGTTCTGCAGCTTCTCTGTGTCTGAGCCAGCTCACGATAGTCATGAGGCGACATCCATCACTGTGACACCGGGGCTCACCACCAACAGGACCCCGCTGCCAACGTGACTGGTTAATTATTACACGTTTTAGACGGCATCTTGTAAACTGCTTTGCAGATAGTACGTCTTAAATATTTCTTTTTAACCTCTCCACACCTCTCTGCTGCTCTGACAGTGGAGCAGCAGGCTGTGGCTCAGGGTGAATGCCACAAGCCATTGATCTAAATTAGCCTGTCTACAGACTGCAAACTCCAGGGACGGAAAGAAGCAGAGACAGCTCTGTGGTGAAAGGAGAGAGGGTGTGAGAGACAGGAGGGAAAAATACAGACTGTGCAGCTGAAAACAGCAAAGAAACTGTCTCCAAAAAAATTACAGGGGGAGCACAGGTTGGGTGACATATTGGACAGGGTGTGATAAGAAACAATGGGAAAAAATGCAGAAAAATAGGGTCAAAAAGAAAGAGGAAAACAGAAAAAAAAGAGAGAGAGAGAGAGAGGTCCACAGTGACAACGCTGTGATTGGCAGCGAGCATTTTCCCCAGTTTTGCCCTCATTGCTGGATTATCTCAGACTAATGTCTGCTCCTGCAGGGCTGTTTATTTCTGTAGCCAGCCACCCAGATTCCTCTGGGCCACTGCTGCCTATCAGCTCAAGTCTACAAGGGAGATGCAAGAGGCATCACTCGGGGAGCTTATGTCACACTGATGGCTTTCACAGATGACACCTCTCCACAGCTGACAGACAGTAGGCAATATCACCAGAGTGTTGATACTCTCCTCTCAACAAATACATGGATTTAGGACATATTCTGTTTATTTGTCATAGGATTTTGGAGGCGGGCAGACGCGACAGAGTTTCGGTAAAAGTGTGAAGAATTGAAGGCGGTAGCGATGAGGTTGTTAATAACATCAGATAAGGAAACTAATGATTCTCCACAGTTTATTGTACTTTTTCCAGTTTAAGATTGTGTTTCAGCGAGACAAAAACTCTGCCCTTCTAAATTCAACCCTGCAGTTACTTTGCTTCTCACTTTTACTGCTGCAGGCTGTTTCTAATCTTAATACATTTAAATTGGTAGGGCCAAAGTATTTTCTTTAATACATGCACATAAAGTTCAGAGGAAAATATGCAAAAGTGAGCAGTGCCTTAATGAGACTTCCCAATGTCAGGAAAATGACATTCAGCAGCAGGTGGAGTAAACACCACCATGATATTTAAACTCTACCAAAATGATGGTAAGAAAACTCAAACAGTGTGAAATGAAAATTCCTGAAAGTTTCTAAATGTGACATATTCTTGTTTTAATTTCTCTGCTCATAATCTAAAGCAGGTCAAGCCAATAATAATAAGAAAAAATCAGTTGTTTTCTCTTTGAACAGCCATAAATGAAATATAATATCATTACTTGTACATATATTACCTGCAGTACTTAATGGAAACTAGTGTTATTAAGTATTGCTATTTTGCGTCAGCTGACAGTTTTGGCATGATAACACAAAATTTAAATGATTCCACCCAACATTAAAATTAACTGAATTGGAAATTAAGTTTTTTTTTCTCTCTTAAAAACAAAACAAAAAAAACGACAAAAACTATTCAGAATACTCTCTTAAAAAAAAACAAAAAAAAACGACAAAAACTATTCAGAATGCTGTTTAAAAAATTCTTCCCAAATCCTGAAAGCTGATAGTTTCAGAACTGCAGAAAAAGCCTTCATCTCACAAAAAACAACTTTTGGTTGTTAAGCAGAGCGGCAGAGTAGTGAAGAAGCCAGATGGCAGAGACACAGAGAGGTCTGCCATATGGTGATAATGCAATGGGTTGGCAATTTGACAACAACGGTTTAACACCTCTCTCTCCCTCTCTCTTTATCTCTCAGCCTTACACACATACACACCGATGGAGGAACAAAAACAGCGTTTCAATCTGTGCAGCCAGGGCCCATTGATCATGCTACAGCGTGCTGCTCCACAGAGTTCAGCATTAACACATGTCACCAACATCCATCACTGATTAAAAGAGAGAGAGTAAAAGAGAGAAGGTCAAACCACCAGAGACCCCGTGAGGAGGAAAGAAGAGGAGGGAGTTTACAGAGGGAAATGGTGCCAAAAGAAATCAGGAGTAAACATCTGTCCCTGAAAATGACATCTAACAGTCCACTACCTGCACGACCTGAAATATCATGGGGCTAAAACGCAGCAGATTCTGGCGGTCTTGATAATATACTCTGAATTATTGTCTGGGACATATGGACAAACAAGAACAAAAATGAAGTGAGGCTCAACAGGATGAAGTCAGAGGAACATATTTCTCCTGAGCTTCTCAAAACTGGATCAACAGCAATTTTTTAAATCACTTCTGACAATTGCACAAACAGAGCAGCAGATGGACGGAAGCGAAACTCGGAGCTGCTTCCATTTCATTGTGTGCAAGAGAATGTGCTGAATATTAAATTGCTCATCGTGAGAGAGAATGGTGGAAACTCTGGAGTTCGGGCGAACGTTTACTCCAGCACGTGGGTCTCTTCAGCCATTTGGCTGTTATTTACACACATGGAAATGAATGAAGATCGGACGAACAGTGGAAAAGAGCTGATTGACCGGTGTTAAAGACAACATTAAACTTTTTTTTTAAATCAAATTCCAGTTGACTTGAAAGTCCTGAGTTTGAGCCACAAAGGAAACACTTACTCAATGGTGCAAATCCTTCAAGAAAACCTTATGACTCAGACAGAATTTATTTTTAAAGTCAATTTGACAATGAATTGGTCCCCCCAGCAAGGGGGGGGGGCACCCCCCACTTTGGGAACCACTAGGTTAAGTTTTGGTGCCATGACAACATATAATATTTTGCGTTTCACAATATTATATATAATTTGTAATTTTGTTATATTTGTAGCATCTTTCTTTGGTGTTTTTGTAATTAATATCAATCATTAAGGCAAAATAATCAGTGGATTCCACCCATCTGGTAAAACCCCCTGTTGGTTAAAACTTGATACAGTGGACAACAGTCTTTTAATGTGTCTGGGCAGTAGAAGAGTTTTGTGGTGCCAAAAAACTTGCCAAACAACATAGTCCTGCCAGGACTATTTAAACTGAACTGCCTCAACAACTGCCTTTGTTGTTCACAAATAAAGACATTTTTGGACTTTAGTTTGACCATAAGCCTTTTTATCTCTACGGGGTGAAAATATAGCTCTAGTTTGAGAAATTCATCCTTTCAAGAAACTGTTTCTCATGTTGACCACATTTGATAAATAAAATCAATCCACGGGAAAACATCTCTGTATTCTTTCTCTCTGACCTAAGAGGAAGTCTACTGTTTAGATTATTTGACTTTGGAACAACTTTCTACCTTGTTGGTGGTAGAGCAGCAGCTGTCCTTTCTCCAGCACCAGGGTGAGGCTGTGATCTCCTGCTCCCTCTGCATGGAGCAGCGTTCCAGAATTCTTCATGGTCTTGAACTTCAGAGAGATCATCTGTGTCGATGTCCAGCTCGGCCTGACACTCAGCCTGAAGAGCAGACTGCTGCTGCCATCAAAGTTCGCCACATCAGAGGCTGAAGAGGGAAGAAATCGGCAGCATGACAAGCTGGAACATATTCACAAACTCAGAAAAGAATATTTTTTGAATAAAATAGGAATGCTGCTTTTTCTTTTTAATGCAGCTTATTTTGAATACAATAAGACATTTTTTTCTGCACAAGATAAAGTCAAACCGCTTTAAACACAGAAAAGTAAACAATTCTGATATCAGAGCAAAGGAAGAGAGGAAAGCTGAGAATGTTCAGACCTAAAGTTAAAGCCACAACCACACAGAGAGTAAACCTACTGTATTGACATCCATATATTTCCAGTCTGAGTCCAATTCTCCCAGTGGGGTTCCAGTCCAGAGGGATCAGTCGGAGGTATCGAGCTATGACCAGCTGCTCCAGTTTATACTGGACCACAGTGTCGGCGTTACTGTTACCTGCAAACGCCTGCGGAGACAGAGAGGGACGCGCTTGTCAATTTGTTTAATCCGCAAGAGTGAACACCTGTGGGAACATGGGATCTGTAGTAATTAGTTCTTTTTGGATTGTAATCAAAGACATGAGAGCTACAGGATGTTCACCTAGAATGTTCTGATCACGCTTTTCATTTGGCTTCACAAAAAGCCTAGAATGTTCTGATCACGGGCCTCACGCTTTTCATTTGGCTTCACAAAAATGGTGTAAAATGGAAAAATGAACAGTGGGATAAAAATGATCATGAAAGGAACATGTACAAATTATTTTTTGTGGATATTTTCTGAATGAAGTGCAGGGAGGGAAGGGCACGGAGAGACTTTCTGTTTGTTTTGGGGTTTTTTTTGGTTGTTTTTTTCCAAACCTCTGGCTCTAAGAGGACATTGATCTTAAGGCTGCTAATAATCTCTCTGTTCCCCCTCTCCCTATCTGTAATCAATAACTCTGTGGCCCATTTTCTTCTGACCAAGCCTCTCTTCAAAGACTAATAGGTTTTGCTGCCTAAATCAGCAGCCCGTGAGTTTTTCCACTGAGTTTTTCAGGCAGTAAAGTAAAAATTCCATACAGAACAATATTTGCCTTTACATTTGGGAGAAGTCGTGTCCCGTCCTCTGCACTTACAGTTTATTTTAGTGATGTGACCATGTCAGTTAAAATCAACCTTACTGCGTATTATTTTAGATTGAATATTTTAGTCTCTGTTGAGCCTAATCCTTAAGTTCCAGTTTCAGTTACTTACTTACAATATTTTTTACCTGGCATAGTGTGACATCAAAAACGGGGTGATTATAATAATCCCGCCCCAGTACTGGGCAGGTCCACCCATACTAGTCCTTCACCTGTGTGCGACTGTGGAACTGATCTATACAACACAAACGCTCTGTTAGCATTTAAAGGTAAACAGAACCTGCCGTGCTCAAATCTATGCAGCTGTACCGCCGTTCATTGTCCGGCATGTCTCATTTATCATTTAACTGTTGCCATGGTTACATAAAGCCATTCTTTAGAAAGCTTTGCCCATGTGGAGAAGGTATGTGGCCAGCAGTTAGACAGGCGTACGAGGAGTCCTGCTGGGCTCAGAGCGTGTTACAACGTTTAATTTAGGCATCAAGGAAACAGGTTTTTAAATCTTTACTCTTTAGGAGGCAGCAGAGCATCAACCTGAACAAAAGGCAGAAGTTTTCCTTTAGTTGAGTGTCAAGGAGACTGGTGTCTCATTTACTTACCAGAGCTTATTTTTACAATATGACGAGCCTTTGACAAGCTGGGCTGCCCCCCACCCACATCCTGTTTCATTATTAAACCATGAATCCTTGACACTGTGGAAATAACCCTCGCCTGACATTTATGCCAATAAGGTGTCATGAATTGAAAGATTTTTTTTTCAAAAAAAAAAAAAAAGATTTTAAAGAATTTAAATTGAATTTGAAAAGGACAGGAAAGAGAAAATAACAAGGACTTGGAGTAAGGAGTTGTCTTTTTACCTTTAAAAAGACCTTTAAGTAAGTGACAGATGTGAAACATTTCATTTCAAACAAATTTTTCAATTGATAAAATCGTATTTGTTTCATCCAACCTGCCCAGTGTTTATGAAAAATTACACTTCAAATGATCATAGAAAGACTTAGAGTTAAACCACTGCTGTTTAAAAACCAAACTGTCAAAAACCCATCTAAAGCTGAAGACGTGCCGTGACAACATTCTTCCTGTGGTGTAAGAATTACAGATTTAGTCTCTGGCAGTTTATCTAACAGCAGTCAGTGAGCGTGTGTCTAAACATATGGAGACATTATCTGATGAGTCTTTAAATAGACGTAGGAACATATTGTCTCTGATCTCACTGAAGAGACGTCAGGAAAAGCAGGAAAGAACTTCAGTTTTACAGTGTCTAACCTTCCATTTTTTATTTAGCTAATGCAGAATCTGCAGCATTAGCAGGTGTAAAAACCTTCCTACTGTTCAACTACACTGTACTGTAAAACGCATAAAGCTTTAATCAAGACCACACGTTAATCTTCACTGCCTTTTATATTGAGTGTAAATAAATTTAAAATCAGTTTTTGGTTTGCAACCACCCTGTCTCCCTTTTTAGTGTCCACTCTCAGGATTTGTGAAGTTCCTATACCTTTCACCAGGAGAAAATCGAATTCTGTCAAAATCTGCTTTCGAGGCTAAAACTACAACAAAAAGTCTGCACTGTCTGCTTTAAAGAAGACAAGGGAAAGGATGCCTGAATGCCTCTGAAGCATGTCTAATGTTGTTCAATCTACCGAGGTCTGCATGACTTCCCGTCCTTCTGACAAACAGTAGCTGGTGATCAGTCATCCTGTCGGCTTCCAGTGAAAGAGGAGACAAGCAATAGTTTAAAAAAACTCACAAAAAAAAGAACTGTTGAATACTGATTTAGGAGAAGGAGTAAACACCAGGGGGACACATTTGGCTGTGCAGACTCTGCACTGCTGCGTGAACTGCGAGCTGTTACCTATTTTGTATTTGGAGAGCTCCAAGCATCCCAACTGCACATTTGAATCCCAGCATGTATGTTTCTGACAGCGTTCTCACATTTACATGTCAGGCACTGAGCTGACACTTATCAGGACTGGCTGGCAGTGAATGAGCTGGCAAGTGTTCACTCAGCGACTTTCCCCGAGCTTGTTGACGGACGCCGCTGCCGTTGTAATCAAAGCCGTGATTTCTTTTCTTCTCTATGGTGGAGGCTGCGGCAGACTTTCTTTCTAGCAATAAAACCAGCCTCCTGTCAGCAGAGGTTAAACTCTTTGACAGCAGCTCCATGCAGGCAACACAACCCTGCCCAGGTTCCTTACATTGTTCCATCCATTTTTAATGAAGAGTGAAAGGCTGATCGTGAGCGGGGCTCGCTGCTGCAGGCTGAACCAGTCCCCACTGTTAGTATAAATTATAAGACTGCAGCCAGAATGAGTTTAACTTGAGTGAAGCACAGATTTAAGCTGCAGTCCACGCCCAGCTGTGTTGGACTTGTATCATTAAATACGTCAGTTATAAAGTGAGGTGGTAAACAACTGTGTTGGGTCAATGGAATAATCCTGACCGCCACACTGGGCAGCTCCACCCACACCACCACAACTTCCTGTACGTGGGACCGTTATTTGAGCTACTTGCATGCAACAGTCAAGTTACTCCTTCAGTCAAACAGTAACAATAGCAAGAGACGCTGTCATAAAACCATCTCTGAAAAGTACAGCAACCATTTGCTAGAGATGGCGATGCAGCTTTTTTACTAATATAAATGTTGGGGTCTATGACTCTACTATATAATCTACAATAAACTACAATATAACTGTAGACTATGTGTAAAAAATTAGATTTGAAAATCCAATAGCAATCAGAAAATTCAAAGGCAGACGATGGAGGCGGGGAGATGTTTCTCTCCAGTGTTGTCAACATGCTGCTCAGTGTGTGATTTAATTTGGTTTTTAATATTATTTGTGAAGCTTTTACTGCTCTACTTTGTATTGTTAATATAAACTCAGCATAACAATGACTGTATATATATATATTCCTCAATTTCTCAGCTTGTTGTACAGATATTTTCACTTCAATTATAATTTTAAAACTGCACAGTCCATTGAGAAAAATGTATTTTGTAAATTCAAACTATACAAGTAACCCAATTCTAATTTTAAAACTGCAAAGAGAAAAATGTGTTTTGTAAATTCAAACTATACAAGTAACCTTGATTTGACTTGAAAACACAGAAAGAACGTTCCCCCGGTTCCAGTCAGAAAAACCTAATTCGAAATCAATTCAAAAATATTGTTACTTCAAACCCATAATGTCAGCAAACGTCGTCTTGAAAAGGTCATGGACTCAAACACTTAGTAACACTTTAGAGGAAAAAACTGATAACAATCCAGAAAGAAGCGTTCAGAAACAGTGGAAAAGGGGCATTTTTCTGGGGCTTTGGTCAGTGTGTGAAAGTGAAGACAGAAAAAGGTCTATCTTTAATTAACAGATCAAAGTTAAAATGGTGCATTTGAATCACATACCAATTGTTATAGATGACACAATATACATAATAATATTTGCGGAATATTCACCCCTAAGCTGTCCTCCTGTCGGTGCTGCCTCCAGTTGTGTCCCGTGTCGCTGAACATCAGCAGGTAACCTGTCAGCCAATCAGAGCTGCCGTACCGTCCCTGTGTGGCAACAGCTGTGATTTGGGTCCGTCTCTCCAAATCCACCTCCAACCACTGGTATCTGTCTGAGACCAGGGGAGACCAACCTCCGGCTCCTGCAGAGAGGACGCAGATCCAGATCAGAAGAGTGAGAAAAAATTCTGGAAAATCCCTGCGAGTTGTTGAATGAAAACACAACACAAATACAAAGTTTGTCTCATTGTAGCTTTGATTTAAGCTGTGACAGGGATTTGGGGATGTGCTCAAAGCTTTCAAACTCTGCACAATGTCAAAGTCTTTCCCCGAGTTTCATTATGATAAAAAATGAATCCTCATTATTAAAGACCTTAAGTGGAATATATCAAGTCAAAAACACTTTGGGGAAATCCAGTTAAACTGCAAAGCACCAGGGTGGTATTTAAGCTTTTTTTTATGACCCCCAAACTTCATTTCGAAGACGTCAGAGATATTTTATGATACCACTAACAGGAGAAGGCATGGAAAGTGAGTGGATTTGAATTATTTAAAACCCCGAGTGTGTAACACAGCAGCATTAACCACACCAGAGTATTTGCTTTTCAGCAGAGATTTGCAGAATTGGCCTGTTCTCCAGGGAGACATTTTCACTTTTCTGGGAAGCAGTTTGTTTGCTGCTGCTGCAGCTGGGGTCAAAGAGCCAGGTCATCAGAGAATTAACCGTCCATGTGTTCATAATTTAGCCTATTAACAGTTCATATCTGAGCTGTGGGAGGATGTGTTGTGATCATGATGCGACTGTAGGGTTTCAGAAATGTAAGGCTGCTCTGTTTACTTCTCTCCAGCACATCAGGGAGCGACAGCAACCTATCTTCTTCGAAGAAGATTCAAACACTCTCACATCTCTCTCTGATCTCCCACTTTCCCACTCACTTTGCTGGTTCTAGGAGGTTAAAAAGGATTTGCGACCCAGAAAGATAACTCTGGGCTTTTGGCCTTTAATATCTGTGTGAGACTCAGATCTGTGTGCACAGAGCTGCTCTCAGTCTGAATAGTAAACCTTTGCAGCCTGTGTCAAATGTATTCTTTGTCAAAAATACATATTAAAGCTAGAGATAAAGCACTGAACAATATTTGATATGAATAAAGAAAAGGCCGTAACCCCAGCACCTCATAGCTAACACTAAACACTGGAATCTAAGTTACATTAATTATTTTCCAGTTTGAATTGGTGTTGTAACATTTCAAAAGCAAACTGTGGTAAATTCAATTTTATTAAATTATTCAAAATATCAAAAACCTTCGTTTAGAATAGAATAGAAGAGCTCACACTTATTCTTGGCTTGGGAGCTCTTAGTCCAATGACCAGGCTAAAGGAATTCGCCACAGCTACATTGAAAATGTAAAATATATACTAGCTCATATAATGTGAACCTACTTTATATATACGTTATATGTTGGGGTAGTGATTCAACTTTATAGTATACATATATATATATATATACATATATATATATATATATATATGTTTGTGCAATTGTTTTTTTTTTATTCAAGTTACAAATTTCTGTGTAAAAAAGTTTTTATCAGGTTAAGAAACTCTGTATACTCTGCTGTATGGACTCACGTGGGCCATACAAATTGATCTGGCAGGCCGCATTTGGCCCCCAGGCCTTGAGTTTGACACAAGTGATATAAGGTATGTTCCCGACAGAACAAATGTATCTGAGATGATGAGGAGCAAAAGCTTATTATTATTTTCAATTTTCACTGGGAGTATTCACAGCAACACACTGATAAACCAAGTAACCATTACAAATGCGGTCTGTTCCCTGATTTGCTGCTGTCAGACTGCGGTGGACCATGTGTTAAACCAACTGTGGTTCAGGTCGTTCTCTCTCCTCCTGCCGTTGCAGCGTTGACTTTGCTGCTCGTTAGTGCAGCAGCCAGGGCTCATAGGTTCCTCAGTAACAGACATGGACACTGACAGCACAACAGGACGGAGGAGACATACTGACCTTTCCTCATTAGCCGTGAGAGGGAGTGGAGAGGAGTCAAGATCAGAGATGAAGGAGAGAGCAAGAGTGAGTGAGAGAGATTCTGAAAAGCAGAATTAGACAAGTGGAGGGCTGAGAGCTGCTGGGGTGATTCGGGGGGGAGGGGGGATTCGACTGTCGACCAAAAGAAAAAGACAAAGTGAACAACGTGAAAAGTCCAAATCTTAATGTATTTGCACTGGCTCATTATTAGGTCTGTAAAATAATAGCTTTTGGGTAAAAATGACAAATTTGATCGTGCACAGCTGCAGGTGTCACTGGAATCTCACTGTTGTCTTTAATGACACACCGACGGCTCTCTGTCACTCACGGAGGAAACTGAGGAACAAATTCAGGTCAGCAGCTCAGCTGGACATGCCAATTATCACTGCACCACTATTACACAAGTGCAAGGTTTCAGACTCCAGCCTGAGCTGCAGTCCTGAACACCTGAATGAAATAACGTATGAATTTGGACCTGAGCTCCTCAGTCCAAAAATCTCCAAGACAATTCCATCCATTAATCCATTGACTGCACAATATATTCATTCCAACATTTTCCCTGTTGTATGTTTTTGTTTTTCAGGAAGAAGATAACTTTAATTTCAATTCTAATTTTCATTTCAATTGAGACAAATGTGTTTTGTTATTTGGGCTACTCCAATAAAATTGACTTGAGTCACCTGAATGCATCAGTGTTGCTCTGTCCATGCTGCAGTTGTGTATGTCATACCACATAAATACACAACTGGGTTCGTAAAATCTCGAAAGAAAAAGATAAACCCCAGAGGAAGTCCACACTCCAGCACCTTCCTCTCTGCGGTTGTTTTGTTTTTTTGTCTTGACATTTCCATTGTTTACAGTCACAGTTGTGCTCATGCACAGTGTCCTGTGCTTTTCATCAGTAAATGTCAGTAATGTGTCTGAATGCATTACAGTCAGACAAACGCATTCAGACTCTCTGAATTTATGATACAACACTGTCTTCACTCTCTTCACTTTTATCTCTGTGACTATGTTTACGTTAGTCCACCGAGTCAACTTTTAATACATCATTTTACCTTTGCTCTTAAACATTGTTGATAAGCCTGTTGTTATTTGCACATCCTACAGGAGCTTTGGAAGCTATAGAAGCAGTAGAAAAAGGTCGTGGTGAGAAGCTTTTAGCCGCATTTAGCCAAGGAATTAGACAATGTTTACCCTTATAATTAGATTCATAGCTGCAGGGACTTTACCTCAGATTAGGAGGACTTGAGTGGAGAGTGAGAGTGAGTATGGAACTAAAGATAAGGTGATTATGAGCAGAAGTTGGTCTGATGGAGCACCACAGGAAAACATCAGTCACTGATCAATACTTGATTCCTTCTGTCGCTATAGTCATTGTCACCTCACTGCTGCCCCCTGCCAGTGTTTCAACCCCCTCCTCAAACTAAATGAATACTTTCAGAAAATTATTACTTGTGACTGATGAAGTGTTCAGAGCCTATTTCAGTGTAATTACAGTTCTGCTAATGTGCAATTATCAGTATGGCCCACTGAAAAACAAGGACCGTTTAGATGTTAAATACTTTCATTAACATTTGGCTATAAATGTTAAAGGCTCTCGTTAACATTTGATTATGCAGCTGAAATTAATTTATCCCAGTGTTGTCTTGGCAGAATACAAAGGGCTGACTTTAAGTTTGTTTTAATAGGCTACACTGTTGCACGGTAAGTGTCGCACGTAATAATGGCTGGGCTGGATTTTCAGAGCTGGCCCACTGCAGAGGCAGTCTGTGAAAATGCTACAGTGACTGTCCATCCAGGGGATCAGTGATTCAGCTGCAGAGCTAAGCCATAACACAAGCAATTATACTAATTACACCCATTATGACGAACATGTTTTGGGGAGAAATGTCTTAAACCAATTAGGAGGAAATTATTGCTGTTTGACAATAGAGGAAACGACTTCTGCCACCGTGTGGACGAAATTGATTCTTACAAAACAAAGAACGTTGCACCGGCCCATCATTCTCAATGGTACATCGCTTTCAATTTTGTTTATAATACTATCTCCTGGGAGGAAGATGAGCTGCATGCTGTGCTTGCAAGCTCAAAAGGACAAGACGAACCTAAGAAAAATGGAGACAACATCGTAAGGGAAAGAATGGAAATTTAAGTTTTGAAAATCTGTGTTTTCAACGTGCTCACCAGTTTGTACTGAGAAATTTAAATGAATAAAATATAAGATGAAATCTTTGGCATGTGAACTCAGCTGAAAGGACGTTGTAATCAGGAGCGCTGAATAAACCCCTATGGTGGTGACACACTTGTTGTGATGACCTGCAGAGAGCAATGAAGGACGGCCAATGATGATGATGATGATGATGATGGTGGTGGTAATGTGGAGGCGGACAACAAGTGCAACAGCACCAGCATGAACCGATGCAAGGAGAAAACAGAGTGCTCAATTTAAAAGGACACCACAAAGGTGTGACGCTGTGGTGCTGGGGAAGATGTGACGAGATGATAAACGACTAATGGCTCAACAAAGAGAGTAGAGGAAAAACAACCGAAAACAACATCGAGTGAGAGAGCACGCGCCTCAGGAGGGAAAAGATATACGGGAAACAGACAACAAGTGAAGCGTGCAAAATAAAATTTATTTTTGGGTAAACCTGCCTTAGATGCCAACACAGAGACCAAGATGTTCTACAGCTACTTATGTAATTTCTGGACAACGATCCCTAACCTTTCCTTGACAACAGGGATTCTCAAAATGTGGGATACTATATATCAAACCACAGAAACCAAACAGTGGGCTGATCAGCATTCAGTCTGGACATGCAGCTGCAGCAGTTAAAAAGGTTAAATGTTTATGAACGTGTCAATATAAGCTCTTAATGATTGTTGTTTGTCTTTTTCAGCCTAATGTTTCCTACAGGTCTCACAGTAGGTCTTCATTATTAAATCTTAAAGTTTAACTCATCTGCATTCACATCAACAGTGCTTCAGGCCTGTGGCTGCACGGACCTCGCTGGAAGTCAATAGTTGCTTTTCACATTAGGAGTGTTTATCAAGTCATAAATTCTACTCTTTCTTGATTTTGCATTTATAATTTTTTTTAAGAAATTCTTCCAAATTCCACTAACTTTCCTTTGTAAATTAATAATAAAGTCATTTGTTTGTGATTAATTGATCTGTGAGTACTGTTCATTTTTCAAGATGATCACACATTTTTATGAATTAATAAAAACACTTCATCTATATCAGTGTGTAGCTGCAGGTTAGAATGAATGATTACTGCTTCTCGCTGTATGTGCTGAATCCTATGCAGAACTGTTGATTTGAGAATTTAATGAAAGTTTTTTTTTTTTCTAACCCATACTCTGCTGGGCCAAATCCTATAGACATAATCTCAGAAGCTCAGGAGCTGAATCAGCAGCCACTATAGAGTGTGCCGTTAGAGAAAAGCACAGACTTTTATCTGGGGAATTTGTTTGCACCAAAGTTCTCAGTTATTAGACAACAACACGGTCTAAACTAAAGCTCAGAGACAAAAACAGACAATTTAAAGGCTATCTATATACAGCAGCCAGATTGTTAAAAAAAAAACAAAAAAGTAGAATGTCTTTTTCTTTTTTTCAATAAAGGGTTTTGTTTGCAGAAATTTATAAGTAATTAACGACTCTTTACACTGTATGCTTTTAAAGTGTGGCATAAGATCAAAATGCCAACGTGCTAACATGCTAACTAGAAAAAAGTGACTTTTAAGGTTTTGCTATTAACGCGAGTGATGCATAATATGTTAATTTGTCTTATAAACTATTTATTATTATTTATCTGACAAAGCAGACGTGTAACTGATGTAACAGTTTTGTTTAAAATAAAATAAACAGAACCTCAGAAAGAAGAATGCTAACGATGTAGCAAAGGTTATTAAACTATTCAGCTTTCTTATAAATCATATTATAAATATAATGAATAATGAAAATCCTCATAGATCATACTAATACTTCATTAGTGGCCTGGAGTATGTTCAGTGTAACTGATACGGCCTTTACATTTTTCTTCTTCTTTTTTCCTATTAATCTTTCAACACTAAATGACTGGACTCTGGTGGTTTAATGCTCTTATCTATGGTCTCTCTCTAATCCTTTCTCTACTGCAGAGGAATAAAAACAGAGCTTTGTCCGGGTGCAATGGGGCATTTCCCAATTTAATTACTCATCTACGACTAAAGAGGCCTTTGTTTCCTGCTGTTACAGTTGCCCCAAATGCTGTGCACAGTCAGGCAGAAAAATACATACTGTATAGGAAGACAGTTTAAATGGCTACTGTTGTAAACCACATGGGTTTCACAGTTTCACTGACTCTGTATTGGAAATTTAATTTCTACCATTTCTGCTCATTTGTTGTCAGTTTTCCTGCCACTTTTTATCTGTGAAGGTAAAATGGAGAAATTATCCACAAACTGTAAATCATGCATAAAATCTGGACTAGCTCTTGTTTGACATATTCCTTTTTCTATCCTATTCCTATTAGAGCAGTCAAATGATTCAAATTTTTAATCTGACTAATCACAGTGTATCTGTGGATTAATCACAATTACTTTTGGGTAAGTGAGATGAATTAACATTTCTAAATAGTATATATTTTTTACTTCTGTATAAGAGTGAGGAATAGCAGTAGGCAGATGCATCTGCTTTATATTTATTTTGATCTAAATGATGGGATTATTAATATTAAAATATACCATATTAATTTGTAATTGTTGTACTTTCAGACTTAGTTGTACTTTTTGTACTTTATTAATACCTCGACTCACAATCTTCCTGAATCAGGGCAACAATAAGTGGATGGAGAGTGGAATTAATTTTTTTTAATTATTACAATTTAGCATGTCATTTTGACAATCCTTTCTCTCATGGGGATGTGAAAAATAGTTTTGCAATTGCTTATTAGAATTCTTCTAATTACAGTGACAAGGATGATGGAAAACTGTGTCTAACTTCCTCCAGCTTCCATTTGTCTCAGTTGGTTAAGGGATTTTCTCACTGATGGACTGAGAAAGTGAAATAAAACCCCCAGACTTTTAAATGACCTGCTGCTTTCTGGCACAACAGTTGGTTTCTGAGATCTGCAGCTTCTTTCTACAAAGTGAAGCATCAGCATATGCTGAAGAGCTCCCGGCTGAATTGATAATATAGTTTTGGAATCACTACTCAAACTCGGACCACAAATGAATGGAAGTATCCCTGTGGAGATTTTAAAGTAGGAGTCAAACGTCCATTAAATGTGTCTATACAGATGCTGGGGTTCAGCTGTAACCACTGTAAATAAGTACGTGTCGATACTTATTCGTCCAGGGCCGCAGCAATTGACACAAAAACTTATAGGCTGAAGGTTGACACTTTTTCAGCAAAACTACAAATCCAAATGGTACGGCCTAAACAGTACTTGGACTTGAACTTCTCCCTCTCACTATTCCCAGTGACCACTTTGGTGTCTTTCAGCCAATGTCAGGCTTGCCTCAGACGCCTGGTGCAGAGACTGTGTCCATCACTGGTCACACCTCAGTCTGCAAGAGCAGGAGAGGAAATCTTAGCTGTGCCCATCAGGGATACTCCACAGCTGAGGGACGTCAGTTATCCTGGCATTTCACCAGCCTGAGGGAGTTTATTGACAGATGATGTCAACAAATGAGTGGCTGCACTAGTCAAAACTTTTAATGGATGAGCAGCATTTCTCCCCAAACTAACTGCTCATGTCTTTCAGTACAGTGACTGTGGAAAATGGAAGTGCTTTGAGGAAAAACATAAAGATGGCTGCTAAGCTACGAGGAACTTAATAATATGTATTTCAGGCCTTTGGCACAAAGTCCATATATATTTATAAGAAATATGGATATTTAATATAGGCAACACTTTCAGTGAGAGAAACACCACCAAAGTTTATAATTACACGTAATGACGACTCATCAGTATTCATAACACATCATTGCATTAAGCTGACGATGTCATTTCAGTAGCTCTAATATGCACACGGTATATATTATAATATCACTCTGCACATAAAACAGATAATAAAGCTGCTGTAGCCATCTGTGGCCATCAGTTAAATCTGGAAAATGATAACAAGGCCTCTGCTGGGTTGGAAAGAACTGACAGATGAAACATAGTCTATGGAAAATTGGGCTACTTTGGATTTAAATTAAAATGTTGATAAACACCATGTCTTGTCCTAGAGAGGATGATGTCACTTTTGTTTTACAATTACATGACAAGATTGGAGATCTGACTTTGAACTGGACCTGGCATTTTATTTGGAAGTCATATTTGTCGCGATCATCCATTTTCCCCTAAATGGGATTGTAATTTCATTAACTCCCTGTAAAATTGTGCCTACACTAATACAGTGGACATCATTTTAATGTTTTACTGCTTTTGTCTCACAAGTATTTGTATGTGTTTAGTGCCTTTACAGTCAATACAAAGAAAGAAGAAAAAGAATAGAAACAGAGCCTGAAATGAAAGTATGAGAGTATAAAGATAATGCTACATCTTCAATAAGGCACAAATTTAAACAAAAGTCAATTAAATTAACGCTTTGTAAAATGTACATATACATATGTAAACTGTACTTAATTAAATCAGTAAACTGACTACATGACGATCTCCCTTCCTTTCAGAATGAGCAGCACATTAATTTAGTGAGTCAGTACTGACCAGCTTTTGTTCACAGAGGGTTCCAGAAGGTGATTGAATGGACGCTGGGCGTCTGCATGATGATTGGATAAACTATTGCAGAGTTGAAACCACTTCATTTCTATTAGCAGAGAATTTTCTGTGTCAGTGCAATCTTTGTGAATAATGTCCGGGGGGAAAGAAACACAGCCTGCTGCTATGTTGTTTCCTTAGTAACATGACTGATTTTATAATAAATGTTTGCTTGAAATATATTCATATTTCAAGCAAACATTTAATATAAAACGTATATTTATATTTCAAGCAAACATTTAATATAAAATCATAAATATTTTTGTGGTTTGGTTTTGTACATTTCTCATGTATCCTTGTTGTAGATGTTTGTACTGTTCACACTTGGAGCAGAATTTATATTTTTATATTCTCACACATTCACAGAGCAGCGACCTCCACACTCGCGTGTCCCATCAAATCAAAAAGCATCAATGTTTGAAATAGCAACCAGTAATTTTCTAGAAAATGTGTTTTTTATTGCAAGTTGTAAAAGATTCGAGGTAGAAAATGAACAAAAGCAACAATCTGTTCTCACCTTCTCTCCTGTTGACTTTGGCGAACACTGGTGCATGGCTGCTGGACAGCTGAGAGGAGCTCCTGAAGGATGAAGGTGGCAAACTGGAGACGAGGGGACTGTCACATACATCTGTTCCATGGCAAAAACAAAAAAAGAAAAAAGAAAATGAGGTGAGAAAATTGTTGTACCTTTGGCATGCTCAATCTCAAAAAGGTTGTCAGGGCAATGACAAATAGACTTGAGTCTGCAACCTAATTTGGCCCTTTACCTTCTTTGCCGTAGTGTGGTATAAAAAGAGTTTCCAGAGAGTAGTAAGTGGGGACGGTGCCATGCTCAGGACACCACAGTGGCACTTTGGCAACTGATGGATTTGAACCTGTGACCTGCCATACCCAGGTTAACCACTATGCCACCACAGTAAACATCAGATTAGCATCAGATCCTAACCACATGTTGTCTAAACATCAACACCATTCATCTTTCTGTCACAAAATAAAGAAGACATTTCAGAAGCCATGCGAAATAAAAGACAAGCAAACGAATCTACTTTTTTTCCACTCAGGACTTCAAAGTAGACGTTAAATGTCTACTACTTGTGGCATCATTTTCGTTTTAAAAGCTAATTTAAGGGCACGGGTTCTTAAAATGTTATTACACGGGATCACAGCTCCCTGTGTCGTTATCTCCTCTCATCAGAGGAGGATTAATAAATGCACCGGCTTAATTAGCTGCAGCAGACAGCAGGCTCTGTCTCCACTCCTGAATCCATCTTCTGATAGTGACGTGTGTTTAATTGTGGTTATTGTCTGAGTTTGTCTCAGGCTGCTTTCCAAAGGAAACCCTAAGGATACTCTGCAGTGCTGGCACGGATGTCAGTGCTTAAATTGCATTGGCAACAACCAGTGACAGCAACTGTGTGAGAAGGATCAGCAGAAGAGCAGCCAATTGGAGAACAATCTTTGTTTTTCTAAACCAACCTCCGACATAAAATACATGTATATTTAACTTCTGGTTTTAGTTTATGGTAAGACTTTCTTTTCTCGTGTGTGTTTCTCATTTCGTCTTGTCTTACGTGGCATGATGGTTTGCAGCTGCTAGAGGTTTACTAACAAAGTTAGTTCGAAGCTTTCAAAAGTATTCTTCATTTTCCTGTGAATAATGCAACTACCTACGCTGCGCCTGATATCACACTGTCAACATTATTGTACTTCATTTCAAACACAGAGGGAATTTCAGTGCTTGAGACTGAACACCACACACTGTGACTGTTTTGAATTGCCTGTCATGCCCACCTATAGTCTCACGCCTCTTCTTTCCTCTCCCCTCTGCAGACACGTCAGACTTTGACTGAGTGTTTCCTTTACAAACTCTGCTGATTTACTGCACCTTCAGAGAGATGCAGGAAGCTGAAGAAGTCCTCACACTTTCCACACCCTCCCATATGACCTGTTCTGAAAGTGTTTTTCTTTAAGCAACACCATCAAAAGTTTTGCTGAGCAGTCGTAGCACGGCAGCAGCCTCTACACCCACAGGTAGTAATTAATTCTGTTTGGCTCAGAGTCCGAGCAGGAAGCAGTTTTTATGTACAGTAAACAAAGTCTGCCTGCACAGTCCAACTTGAATGAAGTGAAATTTTACTTATTCCACATTTTACTGGATTTGGTTTTTTTTTTTTTTTTTAGTTTCTCAAACCACATGTTCCAGTGTAGCAATCACTCCACAGAATTCTTGTATTTTTATCTATTTTTTAACCTTCTAACTGGAGGTCTAAATCAATAGTTTAAGGTTTTTTTTTGTTTGTTTGCTTGTTTTTTGTCTTTTTACTTGTTTGTGTCTAAAAACATATTGCACCAGAAATATGAAATTTATCTTGAACATTTCTCACTGACACTTTTCCTTGTATTGACCTCATTAAACATATTCAAAAAATTCACACAAATTGCCAAGTTGTTTTTTTCTAAAGGAATACAAAATTTGATGACATTATTCTACAACATTCTGGTCAAAACATAATGACAAGTGATTTTTATTTTACAATCATTAAGTTGTTGTACATGTGATGTTTTTTTCTTTTAAATCCTGTAAATCTATATTTTTGCCAAGTCATCCAAAGCCATCTATATTTTATTAGCCTCACACATCCCAAAAATATAAATCCTCTGTCAATGGAAAGACTTCTAACTGTAAGCGAAAGGTTAGTTGCTCGATTGCAGCCCCCAGTGCCTGTGCTGAATATAAACCAGACAGGGAGGTAATTAGGCTGAGTCTCATTATATAAGACCCTCGTTAGGAAACAACAATACATCTGTAAAGTCTTGCACAAACCGTTCTCTGCAGTATAATTTTTTTTTCCTTTGTGGAAGGAGAGAAGAACAATGCTGCAATGTTCTCCAGCAACCACCGTGGCACATTAACAAACATATGGCTCCACAGGAAGCCAACAGACTCACCGACGAAGTGATTAAGATAAAAGCGGTTGGAAACACAGCAACATAGTGGAGTCTCTCACTGGAGACCAGAAAGTTTCAACTCTGACAGACGACGAATCAATTAGGCCGCACACCATGAAATGAATGCAAACAACACTGATGATGAAAAGAGAAAAGCTCAATACTTATACACAATGAAATGTGTCTGTCAAATTCAGAGTCGGGACGATTGCTGCATGTTACATCACTTTAACAACTGATGGACCCATGAGGACATCAGAGGAAAGGACGATTATTTAAATCATCATTTGTTCAAAACAGGGAGACTTTGGACGGTGGGTTGTTCTATACAGACATTTCCACCAAGACAATATTACTGGGATTTGTTAAGAAAAAAAGTCTTTATCCATTTTGGAGGCTTAAGCTTCAGTTTGTATATGTACAATGATGCAAGAATAATGACGACCACCATCACTTTTTCTTTTTACAACTTCTAAGTTTACCTGCATGTGAGCACCTGGGAAATCCATGGATTCACAGATTATTTATTCATACGCTGTAAGGCGCACTCAAGCTAGACTTCTAAATTCAGAACGCATTAATTGACATCCTCCGAGCACATTGGAATTGGACGATTGGAAAATTATCCAATTTCACTTGATTGTTCTGAAAGCAATTATTCATTTATTGCAAATTACGGCCTTCATTCTTCAACTCAACAGTAAAAGGCAGATCAATTGACTATTCTTCCTCTAGGTGGCAGAACTGTTAAAACAGCTATTTCTGTGTCTTTCTTTAATTCCTGCAAGCATATCAGTGTCATTTTCAACTAAACAGGTCCAGGTTTCACCTAGTAAATAAACTGAGAGTACATTGAAACTGGAAGATGAATATGTTTCCTCTGAGAGTTATTACTAGTACACATAATGGTCAATGTGATGTCATACTTTATCTATGGTGATTATTGGCAATTTTATTGAAATTATTTGTCCAGTTTTTCGATCAATCTGTGTCCCTATTTTGTAATTTTGATGGACTTAAATATTTAAAATTTAGTAAGATGGGGATCACTGAAATATATTTTGATACTGTTTCTGATTCTGAATAATATAACAAAGTACCTCTTAATGAGTGCAATTTATTTATAGAGGCACATCCTGATCCCACAGTGCAACACTTTAACCAGTGCTAATACATGAGGTGTTATCAAACTGTAAGAGGGGGAGTTCAGAACAGAAGCTAACGCCTGTACTTCTACTATGCTACGCTAGTATGTTAAGATGCAGTAAGATTGAGTTTTGGAGAGTTGGCCTTGCATGAGTATTTAAAGCTGTATTTTATGTCTCTAAATTCACACATAGACCTGTAAACAGCAGCTGCACCACCAGGATTCTTATGACTAAATAGTGTAATCCTCATAGTTCATACTTCAGGCTGAATTTTTATGATAACTTTTCCCATCAAAGGGATTTGCACCATCTTTGTGATGTGCGATGACACGTGTTGTGACTACAAAGCTCGTTCAGCTCGGCGTTAACCTGGCACTGAGCCCAGAGCGAGGGCTGAGCGTCCGGCTTTTATTTTACATCCAGGATAAACCGACAGAGACGTTGGATTTGCAGCTTATTGTTGAGGAATTTCTGGGACAGAAGACTCACAGTGTGACATTCAAGCAGACTGGTGATTTGTGTAATTATCAGCTGTCAGTGGCAAGAACAAGCTGCTAAGTGCTGAGAGGGAATTTAATGGTTTCTCCATTTTTACCCATGAATAATATGCGGCATATGGCTTTAAACAGCAGCTTTAAGTGACAAGCTGTCATAACAACTGCATTCACATATTAATAGATATTATAAATCTGCTCACAGACTATTACAGAACTTATGGAAGGGACTGTATAAGGGAGATGAAAACCACTTAAGCCAAAGAAATAAAATGGTGACACAGCACCAGAGCAACGACGGCGTAGCGTTAATCCCTAACTCTAACCCCGATGCTTCAAAACAGTAGTTAAGACATGAGGGTTTTGCTCCATTAGAACCTCTCTTTGGTCTCCATGTGGACCAACGTCTGCACCAAGAGAGGTCTTAGAGCCGTGACAAAGAAACCGAGGTGTGTGGGTTTATGTGTGTGCGCACAAAGAAAACCCAGTGGTGTGTGAAATGAGAGATGGGGAGAAGGTGGTGGGAGTGTCACTGCCTGGCTTAAAGATGCTCCGGCACCTTGGATGGATGTCCAAACAAGCTCCAAATCCTAGACTTTTATTATTTTTGTAGTCATAGTAACTGGATGTCCTCCTCAGACATACTGGTCAATTGTTGTGGTTTGGATTGAAGTCTCTAATAAGTTGACTTCATAATCCACTTTTTGCACACAAGAATGTTTATTATGACATGAACGCACCAAGATTGAATAATACATTTCCTTCCTCTGGTTTGTTTTTCTTTGTCTGTGAAGTCGACAGACCGTATACAAGACATGGCTGTTACCGTCTGCAGCAATCAATAAAGACCACAATTGTCTTCATTGCTGTCACTCTGCTAGTTTATGAAGCTAACTGCAGAGAGGAAAGCATGGTGAGAGATAATGCAAGAGATTTAACCCCACGTGTGACTGACATCTGGTCAATCTAGCGTTCACACAACGAGTGAATCAAACCGTCCAACTGACTCTTACTACCATTTTCCTCCAAGTGTTCTGAGAGCGGCACTGCAGAATGAGATCTATACATTCTCATTACATTTATATTGCTTCAGGTGTTTATATTTCACACTTCACATGTTGTTAATATATAAACAGTTAGTGTAGCAGCTTATTGATATCGCTCAATACACAATCAAACTAGAATAGCTATTAACATCTGTTTTTGGCAGAGCTGGATGCTGACAGTGGTCGGATATTCCCAAGAAACTCACTGGCATCTTGGGTCAGTTGCCAGCTGGACGGCGTTCAGTTATTGATCGTTTTGAAGGCAGTTCAATCTCGGAAAGAGAACGACGTTCTTTCTATCTTATCTCAGGTGAAGCCGGAGCTCATCTTCAATTAAATATTATTGAGAATATCATATCCTTCGTAATCAAGAAATAAATGCCAAAATCATGGGCTTGTCCGGGAATTGAACCCGGGACCTCTCGCACCCGAAGCGAGAATCATACCTCTAGACCAACAAGCCCTGTCGGCAAAGATATTTTTAAGATTCCCAGAAACACGAGCTTTCACTCAGGTCACCTGACGCCAATAACAACCTCAATATAATGATAAATCACAACAACTGCCATCATATTATTGACTGGCAACATTTACCAAATATGACAGCTCTACTTATTAAACATGAATAGGAGGAGGGTTGGTTACAAACACAGTGAGAACATTTAGACTCCACTCAAAAAGAAATTAATCTAAGATATTAAACCAACGCCGCCCTTAATGTGAAGCAACCCAACAGTTTGACCCCAGATAATTCACAGTCGATTCCACATGATTACAGGCTGTGTTGTTGCTGGTTGTTGTCGTTCAAAGCCGTGCGCAGCTTCAGGAGTGACAGTGACCTCAGCAGAACGTGGCAGAGTCTTTGACTGATAACACGTCATCTGATTTAACGACAGGGCCATTTGATAAATGGGCACGCTTTTTGGGAGGCAGACATCCAGTGGGGAGTTGGCCTTGGGCAAACATGAAATCCCACAGGTCACAGAGGCAGATGGATGGACTGCGGTTCTCTGTCACTTTCATCGCTTAACTACTTGTCCCAGGATTCATAAATCTAGATTCCAGACTGGCAGCTCCGGGCAAACACCAGCAGCTGGCGCCACCTTTACGCAACCTTGACTTCATCAGAAACTCCTTATGACTCCGCTCCTAGTCAACCCATTTTCATAAATGACACTACAGAAGAAAAGTATGGCTGATTTATCCACCGACTACCGTGTGCCCTCTCTTCATGCTGAGGCGCCGTCGTCTCATGAAGCATAAAGAGCAACAGGGTTTGAGGGAGAAGGTGCCTCGCACATTCGCAGCAAATTGATTTTATTCAGAGGTTTATGTACTCTCTGTGCAAAGCAGCAGCTCATAGAAAAGTAATAAATTCTGATGAGACAAGGCTGCTCGCATATGAACCAGGGAGCTGGGCGTAAATTTAAATCAACTCTCCTCCCAGCATATATTTCTTTCACCAACTTATCCCCCGTCTGGCTCTGGACTGCAGGAAATGAATTTCCAGCACTCAGAGAAAATAACAGCTCTGTAAACCCCTCCCCTCAGCCTGAGATGGTTAAACAATCAAGCACATCTCGCAGCCTGCCATCATGGAGAGAGGAAGTGCTCCCAAGTTTAACCTGCTGCTTTGACGTACCACACGTCACTCACTCAGCTATGAAATCTTAAGCTTCAACCATCTACAGATTTGTCCTTTATAGCGAGAGATGCTAGGTGCTAAATTTGCATGTTGTTGGATCGTTGGAGGAAATTGGAGAAACCACCATCTCACATGAGGGGTACATGCAAACTTCATGTAGAACCAATCATCATGTAGACTGATCCAACAAACCATGTGAACGTCTGACTATAAGGCAGGAGCAATAATTAGTTTTTTACTACCGTGTGCCCCCCATGTGAAATTCTTGAGAACTTTTATCTGAAACTAGGTTTTGTTTTTATTGTTTTTGACATTTAGTGACCTCACCTAGCAATCATAACTGAGGTCCTGAACCCAATTTCTCACAAAGAGAAACGCTAAAACTACAAGAAAGAAAGATTTTAAAAAAGGCTTCAATTTTTGAAGTTTCCTTCTTTTTTTTCCTTTTTTATTTTACATGTTTTACATCCCAAGTAGTTACATTTTCTACATGAGAGATGATGAAAACACACAATTTTCAGTTTATCCTTTTCTTGTAAAATATTATCCTTTAATGATTAACAACGCAATTCATTTTTTATTTATTTAATTTTTATGTAATATTTGAATTCATCTTTTGCACTCAAGAGAGAATGAAGGGGTGATTTTAATGTTAAAGCAGCAGCTGCTCTGGCAGATATCAGTAACTGCACAGCAAGTTGAATGTTTTCAGCTTTCAGAACAACATGTTCAGACATTATGTCTGCAAATCTCTTTAGTCCGTCAACATAGCACACCTCAGCCTCAAATTTATCGTTAGATTGTTGGTCTCAAAATATTTGTGGGAACACAATTCAATCTTTCTTCCACTAATGTTTTACTTCTTAACTTGTACATCAAATAGGAAGAAAAAATGAATTTCTAGAGTATAACGTCACAAAGAGTGACGTGAGATTTTTACACACCATGTCTGCCACATGCAAGCTATATGCTATGCTATATGTTATGCTATATATTATGCCATATACTATGCTATGCTATATGCCATATGCATATACAGTAGAATTACTGCATGTATATATAATTGTGTTTTCTTTTTTTGTTCCTTTGATTCCTAGTTTTCTTTTGCAAGAATTCCATTGGTGCAATTTACCAATGTGTATTCTTAACGTTTATGTTTGCTGCTAGTAAATATCTTGAATTGCCATCTGCATATATAATTCTTTTCTTTTTAACACTTACGCAGAGGACGCAGATGTTGTTCAACAACCAGTAAATTAAACCACAACTAAAAAAAGAAATCAACTTATTAACTATTCTGAGATGTTTTGGTAATAACAAGCAAATGCTGGGCATATTAGAAGGAAGTCTATAAAAGCACCATCAGAATCCTGGGTCTAAATAATAACGGTATTACAATATTTATGAGCAACATGAGACGACAAAAAAAGCATTTTGTTTTTGTATGAAGAGAGTCAGGTTTTGTTTAATGTGCCACTGAGGCTGAGGGCTTCACAGGTCTAATTACAGAGAGATCCATAATGTGTCTGGGTAGTTGTCTTGAGGCATTTAAACCTCAAAAACAAAGTGCAAGAAAAGAGAAATCTTAAAATGTGCTACCGGCCCAAACATGTCAGATGTAAATGCTCCTGTTATAGAGAAACAGGACGTTTCCGCAGTTCTGCCAAAATGGTCCCTGCTTATGTTGACAGGTTTTAAAGTACTTTCGAAGTTAATTACTGCCACCTTGAGGACTGCAACACTCACACTCATGCTCTTCCTCTTTCATTTGGGAGCCTGTGTTGAGTAAATTACGCCACCTATGGAGAAAATGTTGCTCTTTGTTTCCAAACTATGTTTGGTTTAATTCCAGAGAGCTCCAACTGTATTTCATGCTCAGGAAGGAGAATTGAAACAGAATACGAGTGACTAAGCCGTCGTCAAAGGGTTGAACTGTTTTGCAGTTTACTGTGGAGAAATTGCATTGTTTAAAATTCAATAGCATTGGGAGGAAAAATCCTCTTACATCCTCAGAAGCAACTGATCGTCAACCAACACTGACAATAAACCCATTCATCCTGGATTTAGGTCACTCTTAGTCGATGCTGTCCGTTTATTTATTCTTTTAACAACTGCTCTTGTCGCTCAATCAACACAGCTGAGAGCACACAGTGTCTGAAAGGCATCCATCCTGACTCTACATATTTACCACAGGCAACAGCACCACCTATCCATTACAGTAAAACCGGTCACCTTCTCTTGAACTGTTCATCTCACAACTTCAATTTCCCTATGCCATTTAACAGTGTGCAGAGACGGACCATCCGTCAAGCTTAATGCTGTCTTTAATCCTCAGAAAAACGTTCTCCCGTTTACAGCCGAAAAAGAGAGCAGTAATTACACTGAGTGTAGGGTCATCAGATTGCACAGAGACACCGAAAGTGATGCCAGCGGGAGCGTTTGGTGAAACTCTCCAGAGGAAAAGTGCCTCAAATGCACAGAGTGACCTTACAGCAGCATCTGGGTTAAATATCTACTCTTCCTTTCATGCAGCAATCACAACGCATTCTGTGTGCTGCTGCTCCCCTACACAGGGGAGCAGCAGCAGCATTCTCCATGTGTCCATCTCTGTCTTTTAAGAAAAACAATTTATAATAGAAAACTTGGACCAGCATTTATATTTTTGGGCTCTAACATCAGGTCATAGTTTGGCAGCTGGAAAGTCTCAGGAATATACAAGCATCTTTTGAAAGACAAAACCCAAGGTGGTCAGATGAGATGTAGGTTAAAACTGAATTCATGAAATTAACAGTGAGTCCCTTGTAAGGATTTAAAGAACTACAGAAACCAGTCGCAGGTCAAAACATGCAGATAGAGCCAACCATCCATTGATATATATAAATGATCACATTTTTTATCAAAGTTTCAAAGTCATCTTTCAAATATATATGCAAAGATGCAGCTTTTCATTTTTGATGAATTTACAGAATATTTAAATATTTGTAAACATAATACTTTCGATGCACAGATTAGCCTGAAATTCGTTTGTATATGAAATGCTCTATTGAGATAATTACCTTTGTGAATTTAATTATTACACAGTTACACATACATTTAAATTTTAATTTTTTTACATTAAATTATTAATTAATAACTTGTTGAAATTAAACAAAACGAACGAGGAAGTGTTTTGTTTCTCTCTGTATCCAGACAGTTAAGGCTCCGAGTAACATTCCAATAAGAGCAAGACAAACATCCTCCCCGGTGTTAGTCCACAGCCCTGCAGCCCACCGATGTCTCAGCGCAATAATAAACAGTCACTATCGATAGAAGAGCACACAGTTAACGACACTTACCTTCCGCACCTGTCCCCCAGGAGCCAAACAGCAGCCAGACCAAGATCCCGCTAATCCCAGCGAGTCCTTTACTCCCCACGGACATGTTGAAGGGACGGGACACCACAGAGTATATTCCCGCCTGTCGGAGGGGAGACAGACCGTCCTGCTCCAGCTCCTCCTCCTCCTCTTCACCTCTTTCCTCTGCTTTCCTCCAGCTCTGCTCTGCTCTGCTCTGCTCCGGTGCGCTGCGCTGCAGTCGCACTGATGTGGTGCCACAGTGTATTGGCTTCAGCCGGTGCCCAGTGGAGAGAAGGAGGATGGTGCTGGCACAGCGCCCGCCCTTCCTAAAGAGATGGAATATAAAAGAAGGAGCTGAGGAGGAGGGAAAAGAAGGAGGCTTTTAATGAGTCTGCAGGTCCGGTTCGAGTGCACCTCCTCCCGGTAGGAGATCCTAGAACAGTGCAGAGTTGTCAGAGTCCCAGTAAGGGGATAGAGTCTCCAGCTGAGTGCACTGTGACATACAGTATATATTCGCTGTTCTGAGCCAAGCTCAGTTTTATTTCAGCACCTTGGACAGGGACACACGTGCCACACAAATGACAAACGGCAGCAACAGCAGTTCAGTCTCATAGATGCTGTTTTACTGGACATATTGAATCCTTACAAAACAACTTTACAGGTGATGTTGAACTCATTTTTCAAATGAGTGAAAACCCAAAACAAAAACAGTTTTTCTCATCTGACTGTCGGTGTCACTGCTGAGCAATTCTTACACATCTTTCACACTTTTGGCAAAGTTTTTTTTTTTCATTTTGCTGAACATCTCAAAAACGTTATTTAAGGTGAGGGAAACCAACCTGTGATATTTATATGTTTGTATGTATGTATGTATGTATGTATGTATAAATAAAGTCTGGGTTTTTTGCATTTCAGCCAGACAATAATCAATGACTCATCATCTACAGGGGCTTGTTGGTCTAGGGGGATGATTCTCGCTTTGGGTGCGAGAGGTCCCGGGTTCAAATCCCGGACAAGCCCTAAATTTGGGTAATTTAATTGTATATATAGATTGCATTTAACAAAACAGAATCCTATTAGTTAATAAACTGTAAATATGGTTCTCCACTGTTTTCCTTATAGCCCTGCTCTACACAGTGTACTATACGTGTGTAGTGCAAATATCATGGATACAAGTTTAGAACTGGCAAAGACATGGTTGGCAACAGAGACAGCCAAGAGCCATTCAAGGGAAATAACAAACCAAAATAGACGTTTCAGTGTGTTATTTTGTTCATATGTTGATTTTTATTTTTGTCCTATTCCTATTGGAAATGTTTAATTATAAAACATTAGTGTTGGAACAGTGTGGTCTGAGCGGAAGCTTCAAGCTTGCTTGTTGTTTTAGTACTGATTTGCTGGAAATGTCCCTTATTTGTATGTGTCCTCATGGATAACTCAGAGTGATGGACAAAGCAAAGATTGGTTTTGACCCAGGATTTCAGCACAGAAGCTGACAACAGAAAAATCAAATAAACTGTAGAGTTTTTTTGTTTTTTGCCCGCTGAGGAAACCGTCACATTTAAAGTGCAAAGCATTGACTTTGAATATCCAGCATGAGTGCAAACACTGCCGATGCAGGTCATGAGCCGTATTTATGGAAGGTTATGTAAAAACAGGAAAATGCAGATTTTTCCAGGTTGCAAGAAGACATTTCATAATTGTGTTCTCATCTGTATTCAGTTGAGTTCACGAGGCAACTTTAGATAAATATGCACAAATGTCACTCATCCACACACATCTACGGAAACACAAAGCCAAATATAAACACTGACCTTCAGAGCAGGAAGAATCATCACAGGAGCCTCGTTGTTTTTACTGAAGGTCATGAATGAAATCGGTGGTTAGCCTTGCTGCTGCACGCCCACGCAACCTTTGATCCCTGGACTGCAGGCTGCGTCTTATCAATGTCAGGCAATGAATGGTGGACAGATCGAGTCTGTCTTCACCAAAGGTCTGCACAGCCAAGGACACCTGATAAAAGAAGTGCACGTTACATTTATTTTTTCCACTTTTGATGATTCAAATGTGAAACCAGTGGATCACTGCAGCATTGAAAATACAGTGTGATCCCAGACAAGGACAGCGGTAACATACAACTACAGATGTGTCATCCACTCAGAGGTCTGACCACTGTGGACTCTGCTTTAAAGGTTTGATAACAACATTGAGCCACTTCCACACTTCTTCTTTGGAGGAAGAACCATAATGGATATGTGGTTCCTGTGGAGCTCAAACCCAGGACCCTGTGTGAGTAAGGCAGGCATGCTAACCACTACACTACGGAACCAAATCTAATCCAATGTAGTCAAATATAATCCAATGTAATTAAACAGAAAAAAAGACATTTACAAACACTTGTTTATAAAGTTGAGGACAGTCCCTCAGAACACGTCGTTATCTATTTCTACAGAAAAGAATTCCAGAAATGGGCAAATGAGACATTGGGACTCTGAAAATTACAAGGATTTTCAATGGAAAGTCCAACTGTTTTAACTCAAGGAATACTGTACTGTACCATTTACGTCCAAGGGGTTTGGAACAAAACATTTTTTCTGCATGTTTTCTTCAACCCAAGACACGGACATCAAACTACATCATCTGTGAGGCTGGTCCAGAGTGTGTTCTCAGGGTTCTGAAGAGATTTTTCAAACAGCTCTGAACCAGCAGTTAATGCCAGAATACATTTGCGTTAGAACTCGGTGATTGAGTCAAAGTTGTGTTTTAAAAAAACACTTTGAGGTTCCAGCTCCTCACCTTGATGCCGGCTAGATTCTCAAGCTGTTGTGAACTAATCTAACCTGAATTCATCACATCTGAACATCAAACGCTGCAGGGCTTTACCGAGTTTACGGACTTCAAAACATCATGTGAGATTCTGCTCATCTCTGAAGCCAAATTATTTCAATCACTCTGTTATGTTCTACCAGGCCTTTGAGGCGAACTCTAACAAGACCTTCGTGTTGAACCGGAGTTGGCTGCAGCACCCAGATCTGCAGCACGATCATATTCAACATGGCACGCATGGTGAGAATGACGGCCGGCGACAGAAATGAGAGGAGGCTGGTGTTTATACAGAGAAAAGGAGGAGAACAATGACTGAGGAGTGATACAGAAGAAGAGGCTCTGCAGTGACAGTCGATATCGACTGAGGCCAAGAGAGATAGGACTGACATCTGCTGATCTGTCTGTCTTAAGACAAACACTTTAATGTCTTTATGTTAAACGAGTAAAATTGGGAGCAAAATTAAAAGAAGAACAAAATTATTTCCTAGTCTTTGTGTCGTCTAAATAAGTCTGGGTTTTTTGCATTTCAGCCAGAGAATAATCAATAACTCATCATCTACAGGGGCTTGTTGGTCTAGGGGTATGATTCTCGCTTCGGGTGCGAGAGGTCCCGGGTTCAAATCCCGGACAAGCCCTAAATTTGGTTCATTTAATTATCAGCAAGAAAGATGATTCTTAAGAACGTTGACGTCATTGCTAACGCCAAAAACACAAATTCCTTTCTCCCTCCAGCTCTACATGTTCATGTACAATCAATAACTTTTCGACGTCCTGCTTGGATCTAAGATTACAACATATTTTGGATCTGGATCAATGGGTAGATCATTCATCCTTTAAACAGATGTGTCGGATTTCAAACACTGCCGCCTCCTCCCCCAGACACAAAACAAACAAATCACACATAGGAGTCAATTACAAGGAAAAAATGAAAAGTCTATTATTTCTACTCGTGCTGTTTCTGCTGCTACTGCTACGACTGCTACGACTGCTGCTGCTAACTAATTATAGTGACTGAAGACTGCTATTGTCGGGCTAATTTTCCTCCTGATAGGATAATGGTAGGGTGACAGAGTCAACTGCACAGAAATTAAGATTAGGGGCTTTAAAAAATGAAACTCAGAAACAGCTTTCTAATTATTCAAATTTTGATCCCTGAAAAGGCATGTCAATAATTTCTCAGTCAATTTTCCCAGCAACGTCTTCCATATTAGAATTAGTGAAATGTTATCTTCAATTTTGTTTGTTTTTTTTTTTTTTTTTGCTAAACTGAAAGTTGAGAGTTTGTACCTTCAATAAAGGGATGTTGGGATGTTGCAAATACATTTACTAAATGTTTGAGTTGATGAATAAACTAACTAGAAAATGATGTGTTTAGAAAATCATATATTTTATAATGTAAACTACTCTTAGTTTGTACTATTTCCTGGTTTTGATCCTTTAGATACTGAGACAATGCAGATCTGGTCAATATGGATAAGAAAGGGCAAAAAAGCAAAATTTTCTTGACCTTCACAGTTACATTGCGTTAAAGCTTCTGGAATAAATATTAACATCAGTGCAAGAAGGTGAAGATTACTTAGAAGTGTATGTTTGGTTCTCCACACACAGACAGGTGAAGACCCAGAGATGAATGTTTAACTATTATTGAAATTCTTAACTTCTTACTTTCTTTACGTCTCGTCTTTTCACCCACAGCAGCTTCTTCAAGGTCCTCGCTCTTCTTTCCCATGTTACACACACACACTTAAAAATGCATTTGATGCTCACTCAAAGTAAAGGCGTGTTAAAAAAAGGCCCATATTTCCTCCATCACCACCGTCTCCTCCTGTAGAGAGCGACAAGAAAAAAATGGATTAATGCCGTTTGTCGTCTTGCTGATTTGTTGCGGCGTCTGCATTAAATTACCTAACAATGAATAAAAATCTTTCTGCAAAACAGAAGTAATTTCTCTCACACAGGGAAAATGAAATGCACCACCATGTCGACTTTTCAGAGAGATGTTTTTTTTTCAGTATCCGTCATTCTGTTAAAATTCCAATTATGTTTATTCACCTCTATATTCGCTGCACTTATGATGAACTTTAAAAAAGGTTCCATTTTGACACAGTGTTTACATGAAGGCCATAAGGAAAGGCAGCCGAAAACAATAACAGTTTCTTTGTAAAGTGACAATTTTAAAAGGTGAAAAATTGTTGCGATCACAATTTCAAACTCAGTATTCTGAAAACAGGGCCAGAATCCCTTGATTCTCCTTTAGTTTCAGGCCAAGTGTGGAGCTTAGTCACAGTGACAGGAGGAAGCCGGCGGCAGTGGTTTGATCTGAAGGTGCAGAGGGACGGCAGCTAGAACCAAAGCTGGGTTCACTTCAGATCTGTGTGTCCAAATCAGCTCATTTGTACAGATTTTGTGCGCTGGAGATTTGAGTTAGTTACACCTGCAGTTGGAGGCAAAGCTGTTCTGTGGGAACTGGGAATTCACAAGAGGCAAAGACCTGAAAAATCTGAGGCTGTGGTTAAATAAACGACCACTGGAGAAGTGAGGCAGCTGACGTAGTTTGGGTGGTTACATAGTGATTGTGGAAAATCACATTTAAGTGCAAAACATGTGACTTAAAATGCAACAGTTTTGTGTTGTATTCTAGTCTGAAGCAGTTTGCCACTGCACAGTGATGCAGTGTCTTCACAGGTTTAAGAGTGAGCGCAAAAGACAATATGCATTGATCCTGAAGGTGGCACTACTGCAACCATCAAAATGGCAGGTGGGGTAAATCAGTGTCTCTGTCTCCTTTGAAGTCATCAGTGGTAAAGTATGACTGAATTGTCATTGTATGGATTGACAAACACAACAAAATCCCATTTTAACTCTAGAACTCTAGAACTCTACACCTGGAGAGTCAGGAAGCTGTTGGTGAGAAATGAACCTGCAACTTTACAATCAATATCCTGACCTTGTAACCACGAGGTTGCACTCTGTTAGTGATGCTCTAGACATGGAACAATGGTCACTTCAACAGGGCTTGTTGGTCTAGGGGTATGATTCTCGCTTCGGGTGTGAGAGGTCCCGGGTTCAAATCCCGGACAAGCCCTATTTAGGCTCCAGTAAAGAAAGGGATTTTTGTAGAGATAAAACTAACTGTTGCACAATCAATACTATGCTTCGTGTCATGAATGCTTTAAGACACTAACAGACCTTAATGGCTATTATCAGAACTACAAATGACTGCTTTTCTTCAAACGAGTCACAAACCAACAACCAACAAGAAACAACAACTACAAAAATTAAATGGCATTTGTGAAAAAAGATGTGACAAAATAAAGAAAATCTTCAAATCTACAAAATGGATAAATGGTCTATGTAAAAGTAGCCTATTACATAGGTTAGGTAAGGGGTTCCCAAACAATACACGAGTACTGCTGGTGGTACTTGAGCTCCCACTAGGGGTACCAGCAGTCAGATTTGATTATATTTGGCTGACCATACCGTGGTGTGGACCTGTGGGAATCATGTTTTACCTGATGGAAGTTTTAGTCACTACATCTGACATAATGACTTCATTTACAGCAAACTAAGTGAATGACTTGGAATCTGATCTACTCTGCTCATATTTATTCATGGAATCACCAAGTCATAGGGCAGCTATTTCTTTATATCTGTGTGTGTGTGTGTGTGTGTATTGTTTCAGTGTGGCTTTGACTGATAATTAATGTAAGAATCTTACGAGTAGAACACTATCTTCTTGGTGTAACGGTCCTAGCTGAACAGGGTAGTACGTTTAAATACTGAGGTAACAGAGTATTCCTTTACAGACATACTGAGTACCCACCAAGTATAACTTTTACATCCAGGTATAAAATGATGCCGTTTCATGCAAAACACGTTTGCAATGTGCTGATAAAGCGAACCGGGGTGAGGTGATTACATTCACCCGTCTGTGGTGACGTTTGTGAATTCACGCCTCAGTAAAGGCACATTTGACATTAACCGGCTGAGACCGGTTTCACGTTATGATAAAGGAATGTGGAGTGAGGAACATGAAGTCAAAGTTAAGCTCGGTTCTGCAGAGAGAGGTCCACATACAGTGCGACACATCCGTCATACAACGTCAGTGATTGGGTAATTACTCCAACTGTGGCGGGGGGAGGAAGTGCCTGCGCCACAGCTTTAAAATCATTTGAAACCCAGGAGGGTTTGAGTTAATGTGACACAACAGTGGATGTAGAGCAACATCACATCAAGAGTCAAGGAAGCATTACTCTATATAACGATCTTTATGAAGACGGATGGGTGAGGGGAGGGTGGAGGCAGACGTATGTAGACTCTGGGTCCATGAATCCAATACAGCAGAGAGGTATTTTTTTGCTGATGCGAGCAGTTCACATCAACTTCACTTATTGCTTTTATCTCCATTTTAAGGACGTGTTAAGCCTCCGTTGTCTCATTTACATTTCACACAGGTTTTCCACACTGTGAGGTTCAGAACATTTTCTGATATAGAGTATGGCAGAATGGAAAATTCATGGCTGAACATTTGAACACAGCACATTGAACTCAGGAATTCCAAGCACTTCACTGCCTGTTAATCCTCACCCTGTATATTGAACAGCCAGATCATTTCACTACAGTGTCCTTTACAGCTGAGTTAAACTGATACTGGAAATGATCAGATCACACTGTAGGCAACCATGTCTGTTATTATATCCGTCACAATGAGAGGTTTGTATATTAAAAGGAGTATACTGGAATTTATGTAATGTATGTTTGGAAGTACTGTGTACTGCAAAAAATAAAGTTGATGGAATGTGAATATCGATCACAGTTTTTATTTGTTTCTAACCATTTAATATTCTCATCTAACAATTTTCAAAGTGAGGCAGGTTGACATTACTAGGCATTTTTTTCATTTCTAGATTTGGTAATGATGCAGCCCATCTGGGCCACAGTGGAGGTAAGGCCTGAAGTGGCCCATATGTGAAATTGCAAGTACTGTATGGCCCAGTTGGGTGTACTTAATACTATATATATATATATATATATAAATCTTGCTGTTTATTGACAAGATAACCAGAAACAGACCAAAGACACACAGCAGTTAATGGACAACTTCACCTTTCAATGGATATTTACTACTCCTCACAGTATATCATGCTTTAATTTACTGCAAACTGAGTAACTGACTTTGAATCTGACCTACTTTGCACATACAAATATTAATTTACAGACTCCTTCATAAAACCAATACATTTTTTATTCCAAAATACTTCATGCTGAATTCACTGACATGTCATTCATTGAAACAGAACTTTCAGTTCACACCTCGTTATTCCCGCTCGGTGCTGACACACAATTACATGTCCAATAAAACACACACACACACACACACACTCTAGTAGGATTTGAAAATAATCATAACCTTACCAGACGGAGGCTCGGGGATCACGTCACCACAGGGAATCTTTGAAAACGCAGCAAAGACTGTGAAGAAAAAAAAATCATCAAGTCAAAAGTGTGTTGTTTTGTTGTTTTTCCCACTCCTCTTTCAAACCATCTGTCTTTTCTACATTCTAATTCTCCAGAGTCGCAGACAACTCTAAGATAAAGGCTGACAGCTGAGACCTGGCCTGAAGAGCCGGGCCCTGCGGTGTTGTAACGCTTCTCCCACGTACAGCTCAGGTCCGACTGGTGCCCTGGTACTGTTGTTACTGCACTGTTCTGTACTAACAGTACTTTTTTTTTTTTTACAGATTGACAGGTTTCTGTCTGATTCTGCATCTGGATTTACAGTAAACTGGAAAGAGGTGATTTATGATTTTATTTTAATTTTTCTTTCATTTCTGCTCAATCTATTTTCTTTATTTTATTTTTACTGTTTCACTTTGTCTTTTCCCTCAGAGAATTATATATAAAGTCATATTTATCAGTCAACTAATAAAGTCATTTCGTTTTTTTCTCCCTAATGTTGGATTTCAAACAGAGCTTTCAGTCTTTTTCTGTCATGATTGTGTGACTTTACCTTTGTGTTCTCTGCAGTCACAGGGGTTAAATGTATTCTCTTTATTCCTTTTATTTTTATTCAGATGGAAGCAGAAGTCTTGTTGCTGCTGCTGTTGCTACTGCTGCTGCTGGGCAGGCTGAAAAATCTTCCAGCTTGTAAAGGTTTTGTGAGCTGAGAGCTCCTTCACAACGCCGCCCAGTCACCCTTGTAACAAAAACAAAAACAGCCCAGGGTGGTACTGATGAGACTGGATTTATACAGCAAGGTCAGACAAGGCAGAGGAGAAAAACAACAGTCCATGAAAGTGAGATCCGTATTCATGTTCTCTTTGACTCAACCTTGGTGTTGTGTAGAAGAAAAAGAAGAAGAAGAAAAAAAATGTCATTACACCATTTTAACTTCAAGGAATAATACTCACTTTTCTGCCAGACTTCTTTCTCCTCTACTGTATTTATTATGCATGGTTGATCCAGCATGAAGTGTTTTTCAATACGTCTTCTATTTGGATTACTCAACAGGGCTGACTGGTAGGAATATTGGCCTTCTCCGCCTGGTGGCACAGCTCTGAAAACCAAACGTCATCTGTGACTAATATCAATGAAATGCCTGCACGGTGAAAACGCAGAATATTAAAATATGTTTGAATGCAAAGTGGACTGTGACTGATGGTAGTCTGCATCGGTGTAATGTGGAGAAGTGTACACACCAGGAAAATAAGTTTTGTATTTCATTTAAAAAAAAAAGTGCAATTCTCAGATCATTTCTAAATTTAACAAATACCTCACTTAAGTGTTTTTGGTGTCAATTATGTGTTTCAGGTTTATGTCTTAATATTAATTGCTGATGCTGTTTAGTAGAAAATACATGATAAAACATGGCAGGTAACCTGGTATTTGTTGTGTCAGACAGCTCAACTGTCCAACACAGCGACTCCCGACCACAGTGAGTATATCAGGGTGATGTTCAACTAAACAGGCTAGGATTTAATACATACTTGTTTTTAATTTTTCTAATAAGGGATATCACTAATCGTATGTAAAATGTTTTTTTATCATATGAATAAAAATCTTCTGGGAATGTGTGGGAGATATAACAGAAATGGAGAAAGTGTCACATCATGCTAAAAATGACATCCCCACAGACACAGTTTAATATAATTTAAATTCCTTTTATAGATCACATCAAATGACCTACACTTTGTGAAATTTTGAACCGGCAAATTAGAATTAAAACTGCCCGTATTCTATACTGTGCTCTTATTCCTCACGTGGACTCTTGTTCTGGATATTCTGAACAACTTATTTCTGCTGGAAGAAGGAAATAAAATCTACATTCTTCTCATCCCTCTGTTCTTATGTGACAGATGGGCTGTTAATGTTTATTCAGAGAAAAGACAAAGAAAGCCACAAAGTCAACGCGCTTGTGTTTTTCACTCAGCGAGCTGCTGGCGATATTCGACAATCATAAGTACCGTTGGGACCGAGAAAGCAAATCATTGCGATGCAGGAAATGGACTGTGTTAAATTAAAACGGACTGAAAACTTCTGCTGTAATTATCACAGTGTTAAATTAGCCAACGCATAATTGCTGTAGGGACCAAGTTCTTTGTATTTAAAGCAAGATGTGCTGATGCAGGACACTTGCTCCTATACATAGTTCATTCCTAGAAGAACCCGTCCTCAGTGTCAGGGGAAATACCACCGGGACAGAAAACTGCCTTCAGCTTGACATCAGGTCTGTCAAAGCAAAGCACATGACCCAGAGGTGTGAAGCAGTTCACATTTCACTCCATTAAACCTTTCCCTCAGCTGACAGGGATCTTCAGTGAGCGTGCTAAAGGAACACATGTATAGTTGTGTCGTTTGCGAAGTGAGGAAGAGGAGGAGGACCTAAAGCTCTCTTGGCTGCTGCGGGGGAATGAGAGTGTCGTGGAGCGTGATATTAGGGCTTCTCCCTCTCTCTGAGAATCCTCTGAGCCCCAACCAGCCGCCATCAGCATCAAAAGTCCTGTGGCTTTGACAGATAGGAAGCCCTCAGCATGATAATTTATAGAAGGAAATAAAAGTAAGTTATATCTCTTACATAAAAAAAAAACATCCAGTGCGCAAAGGATTTATGTCCACTAAAAAAATCACCATCGGCCAGAGAAGGTCAGAGTCTAGTTTACATGGACGCTACGTCCAGTCTGTTGTCACTATGTTTTAGTGAGTGAAATATACAGAAAGACATTACAGCAATAAATTAAAAGTATGCAGATTCACTGACCCCTGTGCTCCCTCCCCCTTCAGGGAATGATGTCAACAAACCTTAGCTGGTCGATATATTTACTGCAGCTAATGAAAGTTAGCATTTCCTAAACATTTTAATCTGTAAGTTATTAGTTTTAAGTAATTGACTGTAAGAAATGCCCCTGATGACACACACACAGGTCAGACTATTAACAGATCATCACTTACAGTCAGTCTCCTCCAAGAATGAGTGAAGATGAGTTCAGTCATCTCAGCAAACTGTAAGCTGCATTTCCAAGCCCTTCCAGTTCGCTGTTCGACAAGGTAACACTGCCGCGTACATGCTCATTGACCACACTGGCAACTGAAAAGGAAGAAAGAAGAGACAGAACAGGAAACAAATTGTTACTGAACACAAACGGAAGTCATTTTTTTTAGATATAAATTAAATGGGTTTTTGTAAAAGGTCAAAATTGGCAACAAAAGAAATAGACAGAAAGTTAACTTGGCTAGCTAGCCAAATGTTGCCAATTGCATAGAAAATATTCAAGCTGTTTATATGGCATAAAGTTTTTACTGAAAAAAGACCAACCCTGGATGGTAGGCTACAGGATGCTAACCCACTTAGCAACCTGTAGCAATTAAAAACACAAATTTATCAAGTGTTTCAAACCCATTTAGAAAACAATATTTTACTAGTTTATATTTACAATTAAGGGAACATAATTAAAACATCCATTCTGAGGGATTTATGCACAGAAGTAATTTTCTAGTTCTAGAATGTAATTTATGCTCACATCCAGGATAATTTGTTCTACTTTTTTCTTCTGTTGTTTTCCCTGTAGAGTATACTGTATATCAGACAATGTGTTTAAAATTTTTCTAAGTGGCCTCACTGTTCTAGAGACAGGAGTCGTCCTGCAGCTTTAAATCTTCAGGTGAGAGGTTTTATTTCCCAACCTTTTTTTTTTCAATTCCAGTATGAAGACCCCAAATCTGAGTGTGAACCTGACTTTGCCATCAGAGCCACTCGACTTTTGAAAACTCCAGCTGAGAAGATAAGGCTGTCTGAGCCAGCAATTTTTCTATATCACTCCCCTAGAAACAAATTCAACAAAACTGAGGCCTCAACTCTGTGCATCAGAGTCACAGTTAAAAGGAAAAGACAAACCACTGTTAGAGTCTTGACATTAGGCCCCGACCTCTGAAAAGCCTTTTTTTTCTACCGGCTCTTCTGTTTATCTTACCATGCAACACCACTCACTTTCAATCTACACTGACACTAATGCGCACATTTAAGCCGAATGTTTAAAGCATGCCACTGGGATAAAGCACCTCATTTCCCTCCAATACTCCCCCTATGGCTACAAAATGTCAAGCTATCATTTGCTAATTTAGCTTCTTTGCGGTCATGCTGCAGCTCTGCAGCGTGTTTGCAGCGCAGCCGTATAAGAGTGAATTACTCTGCAGTAATGAGATTCCCCTCAGTAACAGGAGAAGTACATGTTTACTCACTGGAGTGCTGGAATCGCCTGCAGCTATTATTCTCTCCTCACAAATAAAATATGTGGGAGGTTAATGTGTCTTGTGTTCTGCTGCACAATGGCGATGGAAGTGTTCGTCCATCAGTGACCCTTAGATAAAAGGCCATAATGGCCTAATGTTTGATTTCCTCTTCTTTATTGTTTAATCACTGTTACGGCCTAAGTCGGCGTCCATAAAGACGTGGGATGTTTTAATTAAACAAACAGACAGAGTGATTCTTCTTCTTCTCCCTCTTAACTGTGCTTACAATAAAGCAGCAGTTTCCGTCGTTCACCGCACGCTTTCAACATTTAATTCTTGCGCTCACCGCACGCTTTCAACATTTAATTCTAGAATTTGTTTTTCCAGAACGAATTCTCTCAACCTTGGAACAAACCAATTCAAACTCTGCCCAATTCCAACCCAACTGAGGGAACGGCTAATAAAACCATTCATCTAAGAACCAAATCATGGTTTTGGACACATCTGGGGCATCAGTGGGTTGTACAGTACCTATTTCGCGGTGTGAGCGTGGAAATATATTGGTCCTCAGGCTTACATAAAAAAAGCATCATGTGGATGCACAGAGCTCTCATGGAACATAGAATGGGCCTTTGTGGTATTGAGGACAGGATGAAGTGCCTTCACAGCAGCCACGGCTGCCACAGTGGTTCTCACAGCAATCAGACTCACAGGAAAGAAAACAGACCGAGCAATACACGTTGATGTTGTTGATTTCATTGAGCTAATTTAATATTGAGTAGCTGTGGGGATTTTTTTTCATTTATTTATATCTCAGTCGTCAATCAATGAACCTGTTATTTAGAGAATAAGGAGGGTTTAAACAGCTGGGCTAATCACAGGGCTTGTTGGTCTAGAGGTATGATTCTCGCTTCGGGTGTGAGAGGTCCCGGGTTCAAATCCCGGACAAGCCCTCAGGTCAAGCATATATTTAACATATATATGTTGGCCATAAAGGAGGTTTAACACATTGTTTGTGATCTGGAATGGCTACTTACTTATGATGAGATTTCTTATGAAGACAAGAGGACACAAAGTCACACCACATGACCGTGAACCTAATGTTTCCACTGCCATCGTCACGTTTCATATACATTTCACTAAATCAATCCTCCAATGACGAAACATTATGAACTTTTTTTTATACACAGGCTGACATACAGTTGTTTAGATACCGCTCAGATAATCAGAGGTAATATTTTATTAAAAATATATATAAAATATTAAAAAATAAAAAAGGTTTTATATTAAAAATTGTTTTATTTTTAGATTTTTAAGGGGACATGAATATATATTTCTTTAGATTTTTTATTAAAGTGTGTATATTTCTACTGTTTATCCTGTGTTTTCTCAGCCATATTTCTTACGAACCTTTTTCTATTTCCATGATAATCTTTTTCTCAGTTGTACTATGTGCAAAAACCATAAAGATTATTTTCATTCAGACCATAGCACCATCTTATTCTCACTTCATTTCACCATGACTGTGATGATATTACTGTGTATGTTTCACCAAGTACCAAGTCATTGTTTTGGGCACTTCTGGAACACCAGTGCACTTCGCTCCTCTGACCATAACAGCATGAAAATGGAATAATCCTGGGGCTTATGTAAAGATGCCCAGAGCGCTGGTGGATAATAGAATGGTTCTTTGTGCTATTGAGGGCAGTCACAGCCCATTCTGCTCCGAGACTAAAGAAGTGTCCACCTCACTGTCACACTAAGGAAAAATATAAGGAAGCTGTGCTGCTGGTTCCACCCGGTTTGTCATCTTTGTTCCTTTCCTTTACTTTAAAGATGATGCAGTATGTTAGCTACAGGAAATAAGGAGCTATGGCATCATTCAGCTGCACTGTGATGATGGGGGGATTTAGGTAAAGGTCATGAACAGTATTTTGGCTTCATATAAAGAAAAAGGCAGAAGTAAAAAAATCTGTTGGACAAAAGAAGCAGTAATCGCTCTTTGGTACCACAGTACTGTATGTGGATGTCAGGAGTGGCAGAAAAGTACAGCGTAACAGAGACAGTGGTGCTCAATCGCTCTTTGGTGGATGTCAGGAGTGGCAGAAGAGTACAGCGTAACAGAGACAGTGGTGCTTTGAGATTTGTCTTAGGTGGTGTTAGTTGAAGCCATTACCTTACCTGACCTTAGTTGCAGCCATGTCACTGAAAGTCTCCTCCAGCACCTCCATCATGACAGGATACTTAAGGTTACTGACACAAAATAAGAATTCCTGGTCTTTTTTGGGAAAATGGGAGAAATAAGAGGAAGTGATAAACAAATGGGTTTTTTCATGTTCCTTGCTTTGTGTAAAATAATTCAACAATCACATAAGTCCTGCATCACTTTAAACATACATACATATTACAATTACTTACTCAATGTGGCATTGTCAGCACCAGTATTTGGAAACTGTTGTAATTGTAGAAGAACACGTTGAATAACCTTAAGATTCAAAGCTGTAAGAGAAAATGATATAAGATGCATTTTTGAATTTTAGAGTTTACTTCTTATTAAAATGTTTTAATAGTCCTTTAAATTAAGAAATTTGGGAACTCGCTGATTTAATGTCAAGTAGATCAAGTAACCCAGACTGTTTTTAACAGCAAAAGCCTGATGAATCAATTCTTTTGACTATAGCTGTTGTTGTCTTACAATAACAGATCAATGTTTTACACAAAGGGATGAAGCATTTCACTGACTTCATTTCCAAACACTCCTCTCATTATCATAATGTTTCACTGAATCTCAGTTTGACCTCTGGCTCTGTCTGACTCTTTGTTGACCTTTTAATCTGACAGTAATTGAAATATAAATGAATGCACCAGCTCCTATAAGAAGAAAATAATGAGTTGAGCCACATTCGAGACTTCAGCCAGTGACGGAGGCAGCTTTTCTTAACAACATCAACCCAAAAGGAGCATTTCATAACTTGTTTTGGGTGTGGGAGGTCTGGGGTTCATATCCAGGTCAGGCAGAACACGAAACATTCAAGGAATTAAGAATTATGTATTTAAATTAGTACAAGGAAAAGCATCTCACCTGGAATGTAGACAGAGTGATGTCCGATACATGCAGACTGACCAGATGACCGGCTGATCCGAGATCAGGAGATGGTACCTAGAGTTGCCAATAGAGAAACAGTCAAGAAATAAATACTTGATTATTATTATTTTTGCTTCAATGAGCACATTACTGAGCAAACACAAATGAATGTCACATTAAGAAAAGGATGCCAATTTAATTCAACATGTTTGATTCAATGTAAAATAAATTGTATGCTTTGCTGAGACGTCTTAAGGTTGAAGTCAGATTAATATAATGAAAATAAACATTGCAAACCATGTGACAGAAATAAAACAAAGCGGCAACAATAAAATATAACAATAAAATAAGCTAAGACCTAGGAAAAACAATTATTTGTCTTAAAACGAATCTTCTCGAGCCATAAAAGAGCCAGAGAAATTTAAAATTACATTTTTTCTAGACCTAACAAATATTCAAATGGAACACACTTACCCTCACTGTTCTCCTGAAAAATAAAGAGAATGCTGGGGTTTTTCTTTATTTTTTTAAAATAATAAATAGACTTTGGACACAACAGTAAAAAAAAACTTTATTAAAGAAAGATACACTTTTCTTGGTGAGAATGTTTAACCAAGTCTAACATCTCAATATTTCATCCTAGTAATACATTTAATAAATTGAACCATTTGACTCTGTGTGCTCTATCATATATAACTGACCAGGAAAAAATAAGCTCCTCACTGAAAGAAATAATGTAAATTCCACTGACATCCTGCAGGTCTGCTGCGGAGACTTTCAAAGCAACACTGGGATGATTCTGTTGCTGTGAGATGAATCCAGAGCAACATCACTGTGTGGTCCAATCAGATTCATGTGGTCATGTTCAGATCAGTAAGTATTCCGCGACTCCACAGGTGGATGCTGCTGAGCCAGTTTACCGTATCCACCTCTGGCTGGATCGTAGTCCTGCCTGTATTCATCTCTAACCTGCACAGGTCAACACAACAGATTAAACCAATTAATTAAACCACATTTCAAAGGTTTACTCTTCACATTGTTTAAATTCCATCCACATCAATCATGTGAAAGTTATTGTTTTCATCTCTGAATACTTTGCTACCAAATTACCTTTTTATTTCCATATTTAAACTCCTTTGAACCAGACTTCGGCAGAACTATGTTCCCTGTACTTATGTGCATATTATTTTCAAATGCCAAGCAACACTTTCGCTTTTGTTTTCAAAGGCCACATTTAATAATGCACAATCATAATGGGAGTTATAATACTTCCTAATAACCACGCGGATATACTCAAATGCCATCTAAAAGTGTAGAAGTTTTTTTCTTCTTCTTGATGGATTTTTATGTAATTTTCAAAAATGTAGTGCACGATCCATTTTAAATTGATGTGTTTTATATTTTATGAAACTCAAAACACAAATATGATACCTGTACAATGGCTGCACCAATTTAAAACTATAAATGCAATGCATGTAGGTTTTGAGGGGAAAAAAGTGAATTTACTCCAAGATATTATTCATTATCTTCTTGTAAATAATGTGTGGCTAAAGTGGTAATATATATAATTCATAACAACCACATGTTCAGACTTCTCACCTGTCCTCCAGATTTTCCACGACCGTACTGTCGCCCTTCCTTGAAGCCGGCATCCCAGTCTGTTCTAATGATTCTGTCGTCTAGACGTGTGCCATTAATGAAGCGCATGGCGTGTTCAGCATCACCTCGTGCATAATATCTGGAATACTTTAGTTAAAGTCAATCAACAGTCAACACCACACAACACATGCTCTGTTTGTTAGGATGGAACTCACTGTATCGCAAGCAGAAGTAACAACAGGGTGAGGCAGATCAAATGCTACCTTATGATAATAAAGCACTTCAAAAACTTTATAAAAACATGGCCTCACTTTCAATGTGGATTAAAATGTGCGATTAGACACACTTAAATGGCTCAGGTTCCAGGTTACAAAGGATACTCTACAAAACAGAATCCACAGGCCGTCTTCTTAACTTTATCAAGGCCGATGATGATGCGTTTAACGTCTCCGCTTTTAGAGAACAACTCGTGTACCTGCTCAGTCACATAAAGAAATAGCAAAAAAGAGATATTCCATCAGAAAAACAGGAATGGCTAATGTGTGCAATTCAGCATTATCACATCAAAACGCTTAACTACTAAATATCCAAATCCACATTTATCAGACAGAAAAACCTAGATACATAAAGACGCCTCTCTTGCAAGAGCAAAACATAAATGTTTAGTTATTTACTTGTACAACAAACACAACACTTATATAGAATAAAAAGAAAAACACCTATATACATAGGTGAAACACTATATACATAAATATTTTGAATTTAACTGAGGAGACATGACAAATCTAGTGACGAAACACAAACCATTATCAATGCTTAGCAAACTAAACGGTAAAATGTACCTTTTGATGAAAAGTTCAATAAAATATATGATAAGCTTATTTTGTTGCTGCACATTTACATATGGACAAATTAACTAGTTAATCAACAAATAACATTTAAAACTGGGAGTCCATCATACCTGTTCTTCTGTCGTGTAGAAAGACAGGTTACCCACATATAACGTGTTGCTCTGGTTTAAAAGCTTTTCTTGTTCTTTCCTATTCCCCTGCAAACAAAGCATCAGTTGGAGAGTTAAATAAACACTTGTGGCGGTAGAGGAGGGATAAATACACATTAGAGTCATATACATTCTATTTTTAAGACGGCGTGTATATGAATAATTATAATCATGGTAACTTGGTTTGCTAGCGGCTGCTACTGAAAGTTGAGAACTAACGTTGAATGATGAGAACAATTACCACGTTAAACAACACGTTTGTAAATAAGAATATAACATAAAATTACTTACCTTAAAATGCTGATCTCTATATTGGCTTACTTCGACGTAAGAATCACTATGTAACGCGCTTAATTTTGCAGACATGGTGGAAAAATAAGCAACAAACAATATGCTTCCCAGTAACACGGAAATAATAAAATGTCTTCCGGTTCACTGTGTCCCACCTCAAAAGAGCTCCGGTGGGTCATACGGCTGGGGAACCTTGGACGTTACAATATACGTCAGTCATATGGCGCCCTCTTTTGTCAGTTTATTAGATCACCGATAAAATGTCAGAATTTGTGAAAAGACGGACGTTTAAAGTTGAATTAAACGTTTTTACGTGAGTAAAAAAAATAAACGTTTTAGGTGTGCACATAAACGTTCATTGATACGTACTGTAAATTCACATTTATTTATTTATTTCATAGTATATACTGGTAATAGCTTTTTAAAACCGCATGTTGAAATACATTTAACACCGTGTGATTCACCACTAGATGTAGCTAAATCTCAAACGGTGGTATCTACTACTTTGAAGTCCACACAGTGAGATGTGGAGACACATCATTGGCTGCAAACACATTTGCACATTTTTAAATTTACTTTTTTAGTTGTTTGTTTTTGTGTTAATATCGGAATTAATTGTAAATAAAGACACACATTCTGTTCTTTTTATTAAATCTATAACTTTATTGTAAAAAAAAAATGAAATTAACCCATTTAAACAAGTATACAACATTTTATGAGATGAGACCAAAGAGCACAGTGTTATGATCAGCTGCTGGACATATACTGGGTATAGATGCTAATACTACACGTCAGTTTGTCTGTTAAAACATACTATCATCCAATTAAACAGAGCATAATAAATGAACCACGGAGAAGACACTGCGGATCCCCGGGACTGTCCACGCTGTTGCCAGATTTGCGTTGTTGTCGTCAGATGTCAAACGGTCTTCACCCAGTGTTGCAGCACTTTCTTTGACCTAAGAGAATATAACAAAATAGTTAACATATATTTTAGTTGCACAGAAGGAGTGAATGCAAGTTTTTCTTTGTAAATAATGCTGACGTAGTTTCTCGTGTCCTTATATAAATCGTACTTAATACACTGGTTAAGTAATACTAAGAAATTACTTTTTATCCAGGATTACCTTACTTTTGAAAAGTTGCTTCCATCTCGTTTTCATCACAGCTCGGACCTCCGTTCAATGCTAAGCAGTTCCACCTCGAAGATAAGAGTCGCTCCTCCGGGGATCTTCGGTGGAGCTCCACGGTCTCCATAACCCAGCTCGGCGGGGATGACTAGCTTCCTCTTCTCGCCTTTGCACATGCCCAGCAGGCCCTGGTCCCAGCCTTTGATCACCTGTCCGGTGCCGAGAGTGAAGGTAAAGGGTCTACCCCGGGGAATGCTGCTGTCAAACTCGGTGCCGTCCTCCAGCTTGCCCGTGTAGTGCATGTTCAGCACATCTCCTTTGCGGGACTTGATTGGGCAGTTGTCCACTCGCTTCTTGATCCCAATCTGCAGTTTCTTCTTCTCAGCTCCGTTCACCGCGGCCAGAGACAACAACGTCACCGTCAACAGTAGATAGACTCGCATGGCTGCAGCTGACCAGATTAGATCCACGTGCGGTGTTTTAGGGAACAAGCTTTTGTTGAAAACACTGCTTAAAACACTAACCAAATGGACCGTAGGAAAATTAAACGGAAGCGGATGCGATACCGGCTATTGGTGTCACAGGCAGAAACGTCCGGAAACATTAAAGGTTGGTTTTAATTTAGTTACTTTCGGTCATTAAATATAAAACACATATTGTAGTAGTTTTAAAAACCTTATAAAACGTTTATGTGTAACTATCAAATTTACATGTGACACACCAATATTAAGAAACCACACTTTACGTAATAATAATTTAAAAAAAAAAATACGTGCCAACATGAAACCAACTTCAGCCACTACAGACGGATTGTTCTGTTATGAAACACCAGTAGTTCGGTCCTTCTCTCCAGTTAAGGTGAGTCATTTCTTTCATATTTTTCTTATTTTGTTACTATCACATGGTCTATAAAAGTGTATGTTTTTCCAAGTTTGGTTTTTTAAATCTTGGTGCATAACTAACGGTTAACTTTATTGTCATTGTAGGGCTGAATTCACATAGGTCACACGGTGCTGCTCAGATTAGCACCTCTGCTAACACATCAAAATGCTCTCTCGCTTGTTGTATACGATCATCAACAACCTCCGCGTCGTTGAGAAGTTGGCGGAGTCTCGTCCAATTCGTAGGGCAGCCCAGATCACAGCCTACGCCATCACCAAGGCTCAAATAACCGGCAGGGACGCCTCACAGCGGGTCATGCGGTCACAGACACTGAGGCAGGTCCGGCAGGAAGCGGGCAAAGTCCCTTCAGACATGGGGGAAGTGAGCAGCCGCCTCAGAAAAGTTGGACAGACTTTTGTGAATGAAGTGAAGGAGGGGTGGAAGGATGGATCCAGACAGATAAAGAAATAAAATGCTTTCTGATTGTACAGATGTAAACTGACTGGGAACTATAGAAGAAACGATGTTAAATGACCACCAATGATCGGTGGTTGATTTAACGCAGACACTTATAAATATGACGAATTATTATAGTGAATGTGTTGTATGGGCATGTGTGCATTTCGTCTATTATAGTGGTAGGGGGAGTATAATTACTCTGCTGTCAAAACCGACATTTCCTGAAGGTGTTTTTCTTTTTATTCTAAACAGTCCTGACAAAAAATGGTTTTCCAATTTCCCTCCAGTTACAAGAACTTAGTGACATGCCACCAGTCTTGCTGAAAATGCCATAATTTCACTCTGTATTTATTCTGTATAAATAAAGATTGCACATTTTACCACATTTAATATCATCTGCTGGCACACCTATCTGCAAGTGTAAAAACGGAGAAGAATTCTCCTGAATGACATCCAAACATTGCTACGGGATTAAGACTTATAGTGTAGAAAAATGGGTTTGTGTCATTTAATTACTTTTTTATGCACATTTAGTGGCAAACAACCAAGATGATATTCCATAAAAAAGCTAACCCTGATTATTGTATCTCCAAGTGCATGTGACAAAGGGTGTGATATGTTCAGATGTCTAGTGTGGATACAGTCACACGGCAGGGTGTAAAGTTCACAGTTATTACCAACACCTGTTAAAGTCATGGAAGAATAGTCCACGTGTACTGTACAAGGTGTATGAGGCAGGTGTTCTGTTAGATTCTATGAGCTGCTTCTGAGAGAATATAACTTGAATGTTCAGTGTGAATTCAAAGAGTTCCTTTTTCACTGTTTAAGTCAACTAAAAACATCCAGTTACATCACAGCAGTTAAAATAACAAATCGTGAAGTAATAGCTTGTAAATAGATGTGTTTTATGCTTAAAACAAATACAAAGAACGCTCACCCTGACTGAAACATGTAAATGTTTTTTTAAAGAGTCAAATATAATCTATCAGGTGTAAGAAACAACAGACAAATTAACATTATAGTGCAAAATATAACATCACAAGTGAGTAAGTTGCTATTAATGACTTTATTTTGTTTGCAAAAGTTGAGAAAACAAGCTTTATGTATTAATACTTACGCAGACACACTGGCCTGGCAACTAAATATTAGTCACATGTGACATCATTTCAAGTAGAAATAATTCAGTATCGAGAGAGAAAACACATATTCACTTCTGACAGCATGAGTCAGTACATATACACTGATATGGCACTTGAACATCATATAAAAAATAAACATCTCAACAGAGTAAAATAGCCAATCAGCAATTAAAACAGAATACTGTAAAATGACAGCAAGAAGGAGGAAATACAGTGGACGATTTAAAAAAAAAAAGTTTGAGGAGAAGCATGAAGCATGTAAATTCACTCATGTTCACAACAACTGCTATCAAACTAGTGCATATTCACTGATATGGCATTAGCTTATCATAGAAACAAAGCCTGAGTGACAACAGGATGTGTCTGTTTCAGCCACACGCGTGGCAAAGAGCAGAACAATGGATTTTTAAAGCTACATAAAACCACAATAATGTATGAGAAAAGAAGGGATGAAGCTGCACTGGGGTCAGCTGAGAGCAAGGCAGAGAAAAAACTTTAGACCTTATCTAGATTCTATTCTCACAATTATCAATAGCAAAGTTACATATCAACATTTATTTCTACCAAATATTTATTCAGATTTGGGTAAAGTGACTCGTGCAGAACTAAAACATAAATCTTGAGGCAAGACGTAAATATATTAATTCTGGATCAGTATTAAAACATTTTATTTCTTTAACTTTATTTAAAAAAACAAGATTTTCAAGGGGAATCATATGGCTACTTTGAAAGTGTTGATTATTTCTACGAAAATTAACTTTTTTAATTTAATGTCGAGTACATTAAATGTTATGTGACATTTATGCAAGCCTAAAATACATTTTATATGATTTTTTTTATGGCACTATTTGGAAAGTAGGCAGATGAAAACCAATGGCAACAGTGACCTCAGTCTGCAGTTTTCCCATGGAATCTTTTTTTTTTTTGGCGTAACACCAGAACTACACATTTGTGGTTTGTGTGAGATTTAAAAACCAGACTGTTTGCTTTCTTTTCAAATCAGGCTTTGAAGAGGAAAGATAAGTTGTTTCCACTAAAGTAATGTAACTGGTGGCAGCATATGCACTGATATGGCAGCTCACCCTCTGTAAACATAGTGGCAGCAACTCTGACATCAAACCTGACTCACAGACACCAAGCCTTCTCCCACAAAAAAAAACAGGTGAGATTCCACAACCTCAACCACATCCAACCACACTTTCTATATTTGTCAAGCAAACTTTCATCAAACCAAAACCAGGTGAGATTCCACAACCTCAACCAC